AGACATAAAACCTAAAACTGAAACCTAAAACTGAAATTTCTAAAAGAAAGCATAAGAGAAAATCTTTGTGATGTGAGTTTGGTAAATATTTTTAGAATAAAACACAGAAAACAAACTATAAAAGAAAAATAGATAACTTGGACTTTATCAAAATCAAAAACTTCTGTTCTTTGAAAAGCACTGTTAATACAAATGAAAGGACAAGGCTCAGACTGGGAGAAAATATTTGCAAAGCACATATCTGATATATATATAAAAAAGGCTCGTATCCAAAGTAAAGAACTCTTACAATTCACAATAGGAAAAAATCCCATATTCCATTAAAATGGGGGAACAATTTTAATTTAGACCTCAGCAAAGAAAATATATAGATGGCAAATAAGCACCTGAAAAGATCTCAATATCATAGTTATGAAGGAAATTCAATTAAAACCACAATGAAATACCACTACACTCTTACTATAATGGCTAAAAAAATTATTTTTAAAGATTTTATTTATTTGTGAGAGAGAGAGAAAGGAGAAGAAGTGGCAGGCAGAGGGAGAAGCAGGCTCCTTGGAGCCCAATGGGGGACTAGATCCAAAGACCCTGGGATCTTGACCTGAGCCAAAGACAGACCCTTAACCAACTGAGCCACCCAGGCACCCCTAAAATTTTTCTTTTAAGTAACAATACTAAATATCAATGAGGATGTGGGGCAAATGGAACTCTCATATCTTGTAGTGGGAATACAAAATGGTACAGTCACTTGGAAAAATCAGTTTGGCAGTTTCTTAGGAAGTTAAACACAAACTTGACAACCCAACAATCTTCCTCCTAGGCATTTACTCAAGAGAAATGAAAACATATATCCATCTGTAAGTGAATGCGTATAGCAGCTTTATTCATAATCACCCAAACCTGGAAACAACCCGAATGTCCATCATCCGGTAGATGGATAAGCAAACTGTGGTACATCCATGCAATGGAATTTTAACTCAGCAATGCAAAGGACAAACCGCTAATACACACTACAACATTAATTAATCTCAAAAGTAGTATGCTAAGTGAAAGAAACTAGAAACCAGACTCAAATGCTTAAGCTGTATGATTCCATCCCAGAAAAGGCAAAAGATATGAGTGAAAAATCTGATTAATGATTGTCAGAGCTGGGGTTGGGGGAAAGATTGATTATAAAGGAGCAAGGAGTGGGGTGCCTGGGTGGTTCAATTGGTTAAGTGTCTTACTCTTGATCTGGCTCAAGTCTTGATCTCAGGGTGGTGAGTTAGAGCCCCATGCTGAGCGTGGAGCCTACTTAAAAAAGGGAGCAAGGGGGATCCTGGGGTACTGGAGGTGTGTGTCTTGGTTGTAGCTCGTGGTCTTTACAGGATGATGCATGCTTGTCCAAACTCACCCAACCGTGCACATAAAAAGGTAAATTTTACTGTATGCAAATTATATCTTAATAGATCATCACTCAGAATTCCACTTCTAAAACTCTATCCTATAGAAATACTTACAGGGAGCCTGGGTGGCTCAGTTGGTTAAGCAACTGCTTTCGGCCCAGGTCATGATCCTGGAGTCCCGGGATCGAGTCCCACATCAGGCTCCCTGCTCGGCAGGGAGTCTGCTTCTCCCTCTGACCCTCTTCCCTCTCGTGCTCTCTATCTCTCATTCTCTCTCTCTCAAATAAATAAATAAAATCTTTAAAAAAAAAAAGAAATACTTACATATGCTCATCAAGGTATTTGTCAAAGAATGCTCAAGATAGTAGTGTTTGAAATAGAGGGTTAGTGGAAGGTTGATTTAACAAATTTGGTGCATCACTTAATCACACTACCACATAACCATCAAAAAGAATGAAGTAAGTAGTAACTGATCTAAAAAGTACCACAGAACACTAATGTATAGCAGTTTCCATTTTTGTAAATATAATTCTATAAGTACACATAAATTATATATTCATTTATAAATAGCTTGGAGGAATACACCCCAAAATGTTGGCATGGATTTTCTTTTTAAAGAATTGACTTGGGAGTGCAAGGACTTTTCAATTATTACTGAATTTGCTGTTGCAATGTTTGAAGGGGGTGGCTGGTGGAGGGCATGTAAGCTTTAACATTTAAAAAAATTCCATCTGTATAAACAATGATCATTCACATAGGACTCAGGACTCAATTCCTGTTTGTGCTGACCACCCACCACACCGAGCTGAGTGGAAAACTATGAAAGAATTAAAAGGGGTGGGGGGAGCGCCTGGGTGGCTCAGTCGGTTCAGCATCTGCCTCGGCTCAGGTCATGATCTCATGATCGCAGGACCCTGGAATTGGAGCCCTGCATGGGGCTCCCTGTTCAGCGGGGAGCCTGCTTCTCCCTCTCCCTCTGCTGCTCCCCCTGCTTGTGCTCTGCTCTTTCTGTCAAATAAATAAATAAAATCCCCCCTTTTTTTTAAAGAAAGAATGAAGAGGTATAATCCCTGACTGCAAAGGACTTGTCCTTTTGCCTGATGGAAGTGCCAAGGGGGCACTAAGTGGCCCTGGGGGGGGGTAGGTGGTGGATGGGTAGGGCATGTTAGTAGTGACTGGGCAAAGGGATGGGGAGACCCTTCCCACTGCAGACCCAGGGATTTTCAACCGTTTGGGGTCACCCCTTTAAGGATGTGAAGAAAGACTCTCAGAATTCATGATTTCAGGGATTCTCCGGCGACCATTCAAGAACCTCAAGGCAGGACACTAAAGTGGGGGGCTGGGATCTCAGAGCAAAGAGCAACTCGGGTGCTGGCTGCCAGTCTTTGCTGGATGAGTTCCCAGGTCCTTCCAGGCTGAAGATGTTCTGAATCAGAAAGGTCAAAATTAGGAATCCGTGGAGTCCAAACCAGGAAGAAGCACAGAGTGGGAAAGAAGATCTACCTAGTAAATGCTCCCCTCCCCACCTGGTAGGCGTTGCGCTCTCTCGAGCCGCAGGGGGCCGGGCCTCGCCTAGCACTCTCTCAGACTCTCGTTTTCGGCCCCAAGTCCAGTTCCTTGGGTTCTTCATCTTCCTGCACCTCCAGCTCCGCTGACCTTTGGCCGCCCAGGCTGCCAGGGTGCGCAGGTGGTGAGCTCGGTGGGAGACGCGTCGCCCTGCACTCAGCCTGGACTCTGGGCTCTGCTACCCTCTCAGGGGTGACTGCCCACCACGCTCGCGGGCGCCGGGCACAGCGGTGGCGGCAGGAATGTTTGCAACTGCAGATATAGGTGAAACTAAGAGGACACTTTATTCAACGCTACGCAAAAATAATTTAAGAACATTGTTGCAATGTATGTCTAGAAAGTATAGCATCCCAATAGAACCTTAGAAGAAATAGAAAGTCCGGGTGCACCTGGCTGGGTCAGTCGGTAGAGCCTGTGGCTCTTGATCTCAGGGTTGTGAGTTCAAGCCTTACGCTGGGCCTTGAGTTTACTTAGAGAACAGAAAATCCAAACAAACCATTTACAATGGAAGGCATAAAAGTTGTCAACTACTCCCCCTTCAAATATCAGACAAAACAGTTTCAAGGGTGAATTTTAACCAACCGTTTACAGAACAAATAATTCCAATGCATTTAAAACTGTTCCAGAACATAGAAAAAGAAGGGAATAGTCGATTCTGGGGGGAAACAATACAAATATTAATCTGGAAGCTCAAAATTGATTACCAATGAGAAAGCCAAAAGCCATCTGATACTCATTTATACTTAATCCTAAATAGGAGTAAACAGAATCCAGAAGCACATTAAAGGAGTAAATAATTAACTATGGCAAAATGATGATGAGCATAAAATTGTTTAATATTAAGAAATCTTTAGGGGCGCCTGGGTGGCTCAGTTGGTTAAGCGTCTGCCTTTGGCTCCAGTCATGATCTCAGGGTCCTGGGATCGAGCCCCACATCAAGCCCCACATCAAGCCCCACATCGAGCCCCACATGGGGCTCCCTGCTCAGTGGGGAGTCTGCTTCTGCTGCTCCCCCTGCTCATGCTCTCTCTCTATCCCAAATAAATAAATAAAATCTTTAAAAAATATATTAAGAAATCTTTAAATATAATTCACCATATTAACATATCTAAGGAAAAACAGCATATAGTCATTTAAATAGATGTGGAAAAGCCATCTTATTAATATACATTTTTGATATTAAAATTTTAATGAAGAAGAATAGATGGTTCCTTAACATGATGAAACATACCTAACTTACACCAACAGTCATTCTCCTTTTCAGATAAATATTAGATGCCTTTCCTTTGAAGTTAAAAATATGTTAGAAAAATGTCCATTCTCACTACCATTATTTTATATTGTTCTGGAGAAACTAGATAATGCATTTTTTTAAAGCAATCTCTCCACCCAATGTGGGGCTCGAAATTACAACCCCAAGATCAAGATTCACATGCTCTATGGAATGAGCCAGCCAGGTGCCCCTAAACAATGCATTTAACCAGAGAAATAAGTAAATTGGAAGGTAGTTAAAATTATCATCATATTAGATTTATGATGGTATCCCAGGATATGCTTATAAAATTAAATATTTTTATAAAAATAAACAAGAAAAATCAATTGTCTACACACACACAATGGGAGAAAAGACATCCATTTACAGTAGCAGCAAAACATAAAACATTGAGATATAAATTTAAGAGGAAATTTAAGAGGTATTTCATACAATGCTAATAAAAATTAACATAGAATTTTGTTTTCAAACTCCATAAATTTCTTCTCAAGTTTATGTGAAAAGTAAACAAGCATTAGTAGCCAGAAAAATTCAGAAAAGAATAACAAGGAAAACATAGGCCTTTGGTGTCGCCCTCAGAGAGTCGGGGACCTGGGGCGGCGAAGGAACCGAGAGACGACAGTAGAGCGAGGCACAGGGGACCCCGAGCAAACAGCCCGAGGTGCCGAGGTTTATTTTCCATAATCTAATGTACCTTCTACAGCGATACAGATCTATAATGATTTACAGCAGGGGCTTAGTAAGGCACATTCGTCCACGCACACAGGGTGAGTCAAGTGAAGCAGTGGGAGTGGAGAAGGAATAAAGAAATCTGTAACTGGCTGTGATCAATTAATTGTAAACACCACTGTACTCGGACCTTAACACAGGATAAGAGAACAACGAAGGGAATGCACAGTGTGCTGCTTACAGCTGGCCTCCCATCTGCAAAACATCTTGTCCATGCTGTGTACTTTAGAACAGACCACACACATCCCAAGGGCATTTTACTCTGGTCCTTTCGGGTTATTTTTAACCCTGCAATCTCGAGTTTTCTCAGAGATCTCGGAGTCTGAGGGAACATGCACCAGTGGTCGTTGTGGCGTTCTGTTTCCCACACTTTGGGATTTTAAAACATATTATAAGCTACAATGAATAAAACATTGTAGTATAAACAGGATAGAAAAATCCAGAAGTAGGCCCAAATATTTAAGCATTTGATTAATATGGCGTTTCAAATTAGTGAAGAAATGATGGCTCATTCAAGAAATGGTACTATGGGGCGCCTGGTTGGCTCAGTTTGTTAAGCGTCTGCCTTGGGCTCAGGTCATGATCTCAGGGTCCTGGGATTGAGTCCTGGGATCGAGCCCTGCATTGGGGCTCCCTGCTCAGCGGGGACCCTGCTTCTCCCTCTCCTGCTCCCCCTGCCTGTGTTCTCTCTGTCAAATAAATAAATAAAAACTTTAAAAGAAAAGAAAAGAGGGGGTGCCTGGGTGGCTCAGTCGGTTAAGCGACTGCCTTCAGCTTAGGTCACGATCCCAGGGTCCTGGGATGGAGCCCCGCATCGGGCTCCCCGCTCGGTGGGAGGCCTGCTTCTCCCTCTCCCGCTCCCCCTGCTTGTGTTCCTGCTCTCGCTCTTTCTCTCTCTGTCAAATAAATAAAATCTTTAAAAAAATAGAATTAAAAAACTTTAAAAAAGAAAAGAAAAGAAAAGAAATGGTCCTGGGACATCTGGGTAAATAACTGGGAAAAAAAAAGTGTAATCCACACCTCACATCTTACCACTGTATCAGTTCCAGGTTCAAAATTTTAGGAAAAAAGTAAAACTATAAAAGTACTAGAAGAAATTACATGAGAATTTTCCCTTCCAGTTTTGGCACAAGGGAGGCCTTCTTATCACAGAAAGCATAGAAGATTAGTAAATTTAACTAAAAAATTAAAAATTTCTGTATACCTAACTAAAGCCACCATAAAGAAAGTCAAATGAAAAAATTCCAAATTATCACAAAGGGCTAATTTCCCTAATATATGATGATTATGATTATACAAGTCAAGAGAAAGACCATCACAAATAGGAAAAAAGGGAAAGGATGTGAACAGAAAGGAATTGTACATAAATATTAATATATCAATCTCTTTCATATTTAAAGAAACACTAATTAGTACTAATTAATACTAATATTAATGATATACCATTTTTTGCCTATCAGGTTGGCAAAAATAAAAAAATTTGGTGAAGATTTGGGGTGGCATCTCTTTTAAATATCGTTAGAGAGTTGAAAAGAATTTTTTAAAGATTTTATTTATTTGAGAGAGAGAGTGTAAGGCGGGGCAGGAGGGGCAGAGGGAGAGAATCTCAAGCAGACTCCCCAATCTCGGGTGCCAGACTCAAGGCTCCACCTCTGGGCTTGATCTCATGACCCTGAGATCATGACCTGAGCTGAAACCAAGAGGTGGGCACTCAACTGACTGAGCCACCCAGGCACCCTAGAGTTGTAGATTTGTACAACTACTTCTTTTTATTTATTAAAATTTTTTAATTCTGGTGTAGTTAACATAGTTATATTAGTTTCAAGTGTATTTTATAACTACTTTGGAGAGCAATTTAGTAGTGTATATCAATTTCATAAATGCATATATTCTTTGGCTCAGCAATTCTACTTTTAGGAATGTATCCTAGAGATTTACTAACATGTGTAAGATGTTGTAGGATACTATTTAGTTCATCATTGTTTATAAATAGAAAATATTTGGAAATAGCTTAATTGCTCATCAGTAGAAGACTAGGTAAATAAATCTGTGTAATGGAATCTTTTGCACCTGTCAAAAATAAAAAGGGAGATCTGTGTGTCCAGCTCTGAGAAAATCTCCAAGATTTATTGTTAAATTAAACAAACAGAATAGGGAACTGTAGGCATCATTTTCTACTATTCGTGACAATAATGGGGAGAAGGTATGTATAAATATATGCTTCTTCATGCGTAAAATATCTCCGAAAATCTACATAAGAAATCGAAGGTTTTGACTGTTTCTACGGAATGAAATTAGGTGGCTTGGGGGTAGGAGTAAGATGAAGATTTTTAATTAAAGTTTTTTGTTTTGAAAATGTGTAAATATATAAAGAGAGAGACAGAGAGAGAGAAAGAGAGAGAAAGACTAGTACATATCCAAGATCCCTTATCCAGTTTCAAAAATCCATAAAATTCTGAAAACTCTTAAAACTGGTAAGTCATCTTCATCTGGGGCAAATCTCTGTTATTGTTCTCTTTTTAGAGACTCTAGCTCTGGGAACCGGTGGCCTGCGCGGCGGCCCGGCCCTAACACCCCCCCCCACCCCCGCCGCAAGGCCTGGGTGCAGGTGGCCTATTGACCGGCCCACGGCGGGGACACCCCGCCGCCTCCCGGCCGGCGCGCACCCAAAACCCCAAAATAAGTTAGAGCTGGCGACATGGTGGGAGCGGGCCTCCATCCTGCGGAGGGTGGGGGCTGTAAGCATGGCAGCGGGGGCCACCCGTAGTGGTCTCTAACCACTAGACACAGAGCAGCGGAGCAGGGCGGGCTCCGGCGTCTGAGAGGCCGCTCTGGATCTGGTCCACCCACTGCTGGGCTCAGAAGTTGTAAACGCGACGCGTTTTCACGTCACAGAGGCCTCCTTGCCCACGGTCTTGGGGAGCCCATGGTGGGGGTGCCAGGTCGGTGGCACCCTTGCACTCCGTATCCACACGGTGGTCACCGCGGCGCAGCTGGTGCTCAGGCTTGGCCAGCACGAAGGCCCCCTTCTTGGACGGGGTGCCCTGTAGAACCTCTCTCTCGGCTGTCTGGAGCTGGCTCTAGTGCTGGTGCTGCGGCTGGCTGTGCGGCGGGAACCGGACGCGGTTGGGCCGCGATTCTGGGCGCTTCCAGGCTGAGGCTCGGAGTGGAGGCCCGGGGCCTCCTGCAGGTGCGCACCTAGCGAGCGGCGGTGGTGGGCACACTAGACACCAGCAGGGAGCTGGGGGTGCCACGTCCGTCTGGCCGGCCTCGCCGCCCCCTCCCCCATCCCAGGGGTCGGCCCAGCTCGGTCTTCCAGCCGCGGCGGCTCCTCCTGCTGGCGTGGGGTGGCGTCAGGCGGGGCTGGGGCTGTTGTCGTAGCAGGGCCCCCCCACGCGGCCCCTGCTCTGGGGAGTACCCCCCTGCCACGGCCCGCGTGCAAGGTCGAACGGGGATGAGGGTAAGAGAATGAAACATAAAAGTATGGGAACAGGAGGGTTGCCCACGGGGGTGCCGCGAGCAACGACTTTATTCTTTCTCACACACTTTATATAGGCTTAGGTTATATAACAATAAGACATAAACAAGTTCCACAGGTTCCTCCCTGCCCTTCTCCTGGCTCCGTCCCGTGTTTCTGATTCAAGGCCAGATTCCTCAAGCGCATAGTTTCTTCCCAGTTTTGTTTACGCGGTATGCCTTTAAAGGGCCAGGTGCGCTATCTTTCAGGGTCTATTAATAACACTGTGGTTTTCTTGGCCTATATACAACTCGGGCTAGCCAGTACAACATGTTTTTGTATGGGGGCAGTTAGGTGGCCATGGTTCAAAGGGATCAGGGAGCCTTTGCTCTACCCGATTAACCCCTTTGTTGCTCATGGCTCCCGACACCCCCCCATGCCCCTCTGGGAGCTCGGGGTGGGGGGAGGCTGGGCCCGCTCCCAGGCATAGGGGAGTCCTCCCGGCCAGCGTCTCGTCGGTGCAGAAATCCCACACCTTTAGGTTGGACCCGTTGCAGTAGGGCCGCCAGACCTCCGTGTCATCGGGTGCGTAGTGGTGGAACACGCGCATCCTCCCGCTCGGCTCGTGCACGCAATCCCACACGGGCCTGCACGCCTGCTGACCCTGCGCTCCCCCCTTCTCCTGGTGCAGCAGCCCCGGCTCCGGGCGCTCCCAGTCCCGGTCCAGCAGGAAGGTCCGGAGGCGGCGGGAGTAGCCAACGAACCTGAGGTAGAAGGGGTTGAACTCGAACTCCAGGGGGAACTGCAGGTGGACCTGGAGCACGCAGGCCGGGAACTGCAGGACCCCGGGTGTGGAGCCGCTGCTCTGCGGGGCCGGCGTGTGCGCCCCGCGGAGGCTGAAGCCGCTCCTCGTCTACCAGCGGCCGGAAGCCCCCCTGAGTGTGGTGGAAGGGGTCCGAGAACAGCCGCGCCAGGGCTAGCAGCTGGGTGCTGATGTCCCAGCCGTCCACCAGGCTCACCAGGACGGAGGAGCCTGAGATCAGGAGCTCCACCGCCATCCACACCCGCGGCGGCTTGTGGATCTGGATCCACTCAGTCCTGCAGCGAGTGCGGGGAAGGAGGCGGGGCCCGACTCTGCGGCCGGACAGCCTGGAAACAAGCCTTCAGCAACATTTTGAGGCTGGTCTTCACTTGCCGCGCCTCCATGGGCACCAGCTCCCCGTGCTGCACACCTTTGAGATGGGCTTTGTCCCCAGTGATGTAGAGGGCTGTACGCTGGGGCGCGGAAAGCCCCGGAGTGTGTGTGTGTTGGGGGGGGGGGCTCGCGCGCTGGGGGCGTTGGCCAGGGAGAGGGTGAAGGTAGCATTGTCACTGCCCACGTCATTGCGAGCCGACCCTGCGCCCACTGCTCAGACGCTGCCCCATTGACCTCTGGGCGTGGTCCGTCTGGAGGCCAAGACGGCCACAGGCTTGGACAGCGTGGTGACCCTGGCTCTGGGGCTGGGCACGTGGCTGTCCGTATGGGAGAAGGAGAAGCCGTTGGGGTTCTGCGTCCCAACGCACCGGTCATCTGGGGCGTATCTTGAAGTGGATTGAAATTCGTTAGTCTTAAGAAAATCTGAATTCAGAAACCCAGTTACTTGCAAAGGTTTATGTGTAATATAGAATGAACACCATGTACTCACCTACATTTATAATTGTTCATTTTGCCATATTTGCTTTGTTTCCCTCTGCTGAAGTATTTCGAGGTAAATTATAGACATTACACATAACACTCTTGAACACTTCAGTATTCATCTAAAAAATAAGGATATTTTCCTATGGAACTACAATATCATTATCAAACTCAACAGAAGAGAAAAATCAGAGGGAGATTTTTCAACGTATGCCCTTTTGAACTTTTTGTAAAATTTTGAATCTGTGGCTATATAACTTATTCAATAGGTAATAAATTTTCAAATTAAAAATAAACTGAATGGGATCTTTGATACTTAAAACTGACCAGAAAGCTATGGGATCTGCCCAAGATATCACTAAAGGACAGGAAAGAAGGATTATTTCAAGGACCCAGTTGAAAGTACAGATTGGGGTGGGGGGGACATTTCATTTTAATGCCCAACTAAGTTAGGGCTGGTGTGAGTGGGTGGGACTTTCATCCAATCAATACTGATAGCATGGTAGGCACGGAAAGCCAATCGAAGTTCAACACAAGTGTCTATTACTTTGAAGCAATGTTTTGTTCTCTCCATCATAGACAGGGTCCAATGTAATCAACTTGCCACCAGGTGACTGCTATTCCCACTGGGATATTATATCATACTTAGGGTTTAGAATTGGTTGGTGACATCCACAGGGCAGATCACTTGCCCACTTACTGAAACTATCTTGGGTTAGTGAAGATTCATATGGGACATAAATATTTTTAGACTTGGGTCTATCCACATACCAGCTAGTTCCCTCAGGCTCTTTGTTAACAATTCTCTTAATTCTTCTCCCTCCATCCCTTCTCCTTTTGTTTCTCCCTTTCCTTCTCCTCCTCCACCTCCACTTCCTCCTCCTCCTTCTTCACATTTTTTAAGCTCATGACATAACTTGCAGAAGAGTCGCAATCCCAGTATACCTGTTTCCAGATTCAGGTAACACTCAATCTTTATAGTTAGTCTTGTAGTCAGCATTTCTTCTTGTCTGAGCGGAGTGGTGTTTGAAGTATTTTCAGTAGAGATTCCCAATTCTAAGTAAAAAGTAATCCCTTCTGTCCCAAGACAATCATCAAGGTACTGCTATTGCTATAGGGGAATCTCCCTCCACACAGACAAGGGGGAGCCTGTCTTTCCCAGAGCTGTTTAACTACAGGGAAGTCCAGTGCACTATCCACTGGATCCTAGGGTGGAGGCTGCCTGAGTGCTATAGTTGACCTACTTAAGGAGCACACATGATCCAGTTAGAGAGCCTAATCAACTATCAGTGACACGTTTGAGAGTTTCATGCCAATAGAAACGGTTTACTTGTCACAGGTGGGCATCCAAAATGTAAGAGAATAACGTATTTGAATGGTATTCCAGTTAAAGAAAAGCTGAAAATTTACAATCATTATATAGTTTGTTGGGAAAGTTTGTACTGAGGGCTTTGGGAGTGTGTTGAAGAAAGTGATCAGGATTTTGAGCATATTTTCTTCATGCTGGTAGATTATACACTTATTGGATATTTAGAAGAAATTAAAATAAAGGATGAAACTTGACCTTATTTAATGCCCTCAGATGGCCAGTTTGAGTAAAACAATCACAGAAATTTACAAAGCTATGGTTTTGGAGTTAAAACACTGCATCAAAGAATTTACATTAACATGCAAGATATTTTCCTACTGCTGTGATAAATCATGAGGTTCTGTTAAAAACAAAACAAACAATTTATGCAATACCATCATTCTGGTTGGCATGATAAAATTGATGGATGACTAACAGTACTAATTATGCTCTTTTGTACCAATAAAGCTAATTTAGTTGATTTTGGATTCCCACCAAAATTCCAAGAGATTTCTGTATAGCAAAAAATGAAGGAAGGAAGGAAGGAAAGGGGCAAAGGAGCAAAGAAGGAAAGCAGAAGGAAGGAGGGAAGTCTACCAAGACCCAGGGCCCGGACAAATACATTGCAGTACACGTGCTTGATGTACTGTTATGCAGCCACCAAAGGAGCTAGACCTACAAGAGCAATAAAGAGGTCTAAGTACGTGAAGTGAAAACGTTAAAATAAGTGGAGAAAAAGCTAAACGTCAAATAGCTTCATGCCTGTCTATCTAGCTGTGAGGGAGAGATGGGAATTACACGCGCGAACCCCCAGCTCACCCCGCCCCAGGGAAGTGGGACCAAGGAGGGACAGGATGGGATTTCACCTTTCGCTTTATTAATTTTGGCCTTGCCTGAGAATTTTAAAAAATCATAGGTAATGTTTTAAAAATAAGCATTTTCTTTTCTTTTTTTTTTTTTTGAAGATTTTATTTATTTAATTGACAGAGAGACAGAGAGAGACAGAGAGAGATGGAACACAAGCAGGGGGAGTGGGAGAGGGAGAAGCAGGCTCCCCGCCAAGCAGGGAGCCCGATGCGGGGCTCGATCCCAGGACCCTGGGATCATGACCTGAGCCGAAGGCAGTTGCCTAACCAACTGAGCCACCCAGGCGCCCCAAAAATAAGCATTTTCAAGTTAACGGCCGAGGCTGCACGCGTTCCTTCCCTTTAAACGTGTCCCGGGCGCTCCCGAGCGCGAAATTCCAACCACGTGCCCCGCCGCGGGCGGCGGGAGACGAGACGCGGGATCCTAGAGCGGCCCGGAAGTGCTCCCGCCCCGAGCGCCCCGCGCGGCGGGCGGCCTCCTCGCTGCGGCGCATTGTGCCGGCTGGCGCGCTCCCGCCGACGCCGCGCCGAGAGCCTCCGCCTCCGGGCCTCGTCCCGCTCCCGAGAGTCGGCGCCGGGACCCCGGGGCGGGCGGGCGTGGCAGGGAGAGGGCCGTGGAAGGTAAGCCTCCGCCCGCGGCGGGCGCGTCGTCCCGGCTTGGGGACATGGCGCGGGCAGGGCCTGGGAGGAGCGCGAGGCTGGAGGGCCGTCCCCGGGGGTAGCGGCCGCAGGTCGGCCTGGGCCGGAAGCGCCTGGAGTCCGACAGCCTCGGGCGCGGGGAAGTTAAGCACAGGGTTCAGTCCCTCAGGTTTGGTTCTGAGAGCGGGTTACGGGGCTGTGAGCGGACTGGCTTTCGGGTGCGGGACCCTGGAGCCCTGGCGTGCGCGCACTCACGGGGAGCCTGTTGGAGGTCCTGTCGCCAGCCCGCGTGCCCGGGTGCCCACTCCCTGCGAGGCCGCCACAGCGCCTGTCCCGCGGGAATTCAGCGTCAGGGCTGCACTTGCTGACACTGTGCAGACGCACAGGTCTCCTGGGTCGCAGGCACCGCCTGCGTTTCTGCCGATTCTAAGGACTGCCCTCATAAAGAACTTGACCTTAGGCGGCCTACCTGAATTCCCCCGACAGCCGTTTCTTATCTCCTGAAGTAGCGGTTGTCATCAAACCTCAGAGGGTCACGTGAACATTAACTGTGGTCCGGTGTTGAAAGCAGGAGTCCCAGGAAAGTAAGTTCATTCATTAATCAAGGACAAGAACAGTTTCTATCTCTTCTTTGTCTAATTTCACTTTTACGTAATGAGTCTGAGCTTTTTAACCATGCTGAGTGAACTGTGTGGCCCCTAATTTCTCCATGAGCGCTGTAAGGTATTTTTATTGCTATTTCTTCACATCCAGAGACTGAGATTGAAAGGTAAGAAGTTGGCTGAAGATCACACAATTAGTAAACGTTAGAGCCAGAATAAAATCCAGTTCTGAGTGACTTGAAAGTGTATGCCTTTTGCACATTACGACCTTCTATTTCCCATTCTTCCCACATCCTTTGGTCCCCAAGCGACTTGACTTTCAGTGAAGAGCCTGGGACCTGTGACAGTTGCTTATATAATCAGTGCCTATCATTAGCTATTGCCATTTTTCTATGTAAACGGTGATTTTTACTGCTTAGGAGGGAATCTTCAAAGGTGTTTCTAAAACGTAGCTCCAGCTGGAGGGTGCTTTTTAAACTGTTCAAGGACAAGATGAATGCGGAGTCAAAGGAGGTTTTACCCCTGGATGTGCAAGCTCCTGAGGTTTGGGAAGAACTTCTGACAGTGAAAATGGAGATGGAAAGTCGCCTCCAAGTGCAGGAATCCAGGTTGAAATGTAGTAATCCCTTGGCAAGGGAAATTTTCCGAAGGCGCTTTCGACAGCTGTGCTACCAGGAGACCCCTGGACCCAGGGAGGCCCTCACCCGACTCCAGGAGCTTTGCCACCAGTGGTTGAGGCCACATGTGAGCACAAAGGAGCAGATTGTGGAGCTGCTGGTGCTGGAGCAGTTCCTGACCATCCTGCCCGAGGAGCTGCAGGCCTGGGTGCGGGAGCACTGTCCAGAGAGCGGGGAAGAGGCTGTGATTTTGCTGGAGGATCTGGAGAGAGAGCTCGATGAACCTCAACATGAGGTAGGAAGGGAGATTTGCCAGGAAAACGTATATATGTGTGACCCTTGAATCCTTTGTTTTATACTCCCTTGACTATAATCCTGCTTTCTGCTTCTTTCTGGGAAGTGTTTCTTTAGACAGTTTCCTCTTCAAAAGTCAAATCTCATCTCTCTGTTTCCAGGTGGTAGCCCACACGCAGGGGCAAGAAGTCCTCCCTGAAGAGACAGTGCCTCTGGGAGCACAGACATCACTGAGCCTCCAGTCCCGGCCTGAGGAATCCCTCACCTGTGACACTGCTCGGCAGCCCCACCCTATTGGAGAGACAGGTGAGGGACAGGACTTTTCTGGTGCTGAACATATGAGCCCCCCTTGTCAAGCAAAAACAAAAAGCCCAGACCTGGGGAGCCAGGGGGTCAGGAGTCCCTTTGCCAGGTGACAGCAATGCTCTGGGTTTCCAAGTGCACAGTGTGCTCACTGTGTCCCTTTGCCCCACACTCAGGCTCCCCCCGAGTCCCCTCCTGGAGGCTCTCTGGTCTCCTGGCACGTGACACCTCAGGGAGACTTCCAGGAAGCACTGTGGGCAGCGGCTTTAGAGGATCGGTGTAATAGGGTCAGATCATGGCTTTGCCTCCGGAAGCTGCTTGTACGTGGGCGGGTCACTTAACCATTTGCTCTCAGTTCCCTCATCTCCAGAATGGGGTTGATCATAGCATTGCCTTAGTCTGCTCGGGTTCTCATGAAAGAACTAGCACATGCTGAGGGGCTTACACAACAGACATTTATCTTCTCACTGTTCTGGAGGCTGGATGTCCAAGATCAAGGTGCCTGCAGGGTGGGTTGTTGGTGAGACCTGTTTTCCTGGCTTGCTCACGGCCACCTTCTTTGTTCTCACACGTGCCTTTCTCTGTGCACGTGCTTATTGGGGCGAGGGAGAGAAAGAGGGAGGGAGAAAGAGAAAGCTCTGGTGTCTCCTCGCCTTATAAGGACATCAGTCCTTTTGCATTAGGGCCCACCCTTAATTATCTGAATTACTTTCCTAAAAGGCCCTGTTTCTAAATACAGTCAGGGCTTCAACACGTGACTGGGCAGAAGAGAGATGACACAATTCAGTCGAGCAAGTGTGCACCACAGAAGGCGGTTGTGAGCAGTGAACGCGAACAGCCGACGGAAAGCACTTGGCAGGCTGTCCCTCAGGGTCGCCTTTGCCAGTCTGGCCGACGTTCGCAGGGCAAAGCTGTGAGCGCACTCAGTAGGTGGCAGACTGGCTGGGGGAGTCCGGTAGAACCAGCCTTTGCCCCTTCCTGGCAGGTGACGTCGTGCTGGGTGCCGTCCTGGGCACGTGGGGCCGAGCCGGCTGCCTTCCTGTCCTGGCCCCCCCGCCACAGCTGGCCCAGCTTCCGTCTGATTTCTCACACCACACCTCATCACCTCTCACTGCTGGTTAGCCGTCTCATAGTCGGCGTGCAGCTCTTGCCGTTCTCACACCAGCCCCATGTGGCTTGAAGCCAGACTTCCCTTGCTGCCCTGCCTCCTGCCTGTGTTTATTCTGCCTGCCCTAGCAATCATACGGTTATCCTGGATTTCTGCCACTTGGAACACAGCTCTTGACTTAAATTAAAAAGATGTTTTTGAGTGACTTCTGTTGCTCTACAGACCTTCCTCTGGCTTCTGTGACCTCATCAGATTATAAGTCCTTTGGTTTCTGGGCCCCTGGGTGTCTCAGTCCATTAAGCATCCAATTCTTGATTTTGGCTCAGGTCATGATCTCAGGGCTCCATACTCAGCGGGGAGTCTGCTGGAGATTTTCTGTCCCTCTCCCTCTGCCCCTCCCCACACTTGTGCACTCTCTCTATATAAAATAAATATGTCTTTAAAAAAAAGTCCTTTGGTTTCATTTTCCTCCTTCATGAACATCTTTGCAATCTGTTCGTTTCTTCCTCGTCTCCCTGTGAACTTGAACTTTTATATTCCAGCCATCTTTTCCTTTCTTCTGCCTTCCAAGCTGCAGCTAGAACCCTACTGGGAACCCCTTCTTTCAGGAAGCACATCTGAGCCAGTCCTTCCTCCTGTCTGTTCATCGCTCCCTCCCTCCATCCAGTCATCCATTAAGCATTTCCTGTGGCCCCAGGAGAGTAACCTGAAAGCGTCTATAAATCAGAGTTCTCTTAGTGGGACTATCACTGCAGGTATGTGTCTTCAGGAAAAGCCAGTTTTGCAAAGCAACATAGTAAGTGTTTGAGGTTACAAGGACTAAATCCAAGTTCCAGCTCTTCAATTTTTTTTTTAAAGATTTTATTTGACAGAGAGAGACACAGCGAGAGAGAGAACACAAGCAGGGGGAGTGGGAGAGGGAGAAGCAGGCTTCCCTCAGAGCAGGGAGCCCGATGTGGGGCTCGATCCCAGGGCCCCGGGACCATGGCCTGAGCCGAAGGTAGATGCTTAACTGACTGAGCCACCCGGGTGTTCCTTCAATTTTTCTTTTTTAACTAAGGAACATTTAAGGTTACTTTGTATCACTGAGTTTGAGTTTCTTTCAGAACTGCTGATGGTAAAAAAAAAAAATTCCAAATAACGTAGACGTTTATGTATTAAAACATGAAAGTTTTCCAAATTTTATTCCCTAGGAGTAACCATTCTTGTCAAATGGCTGTGTATTTTCCAGACTTTCTCCACATATGTACAGAGTCTGTCTAGCTATTTGTCTATCTTTTATTTGCTATTCACTTCTTTCAAGAGGTGGGGTAATAACATCAGGGGGTTTTGTGGTGCATAGTTTGATAACATAGGTGACAGTGCTTCGTTAGTCACGGACGGCTGTATAAATGGTCATTATTAGAAGGTGAGAAATGTCTTTGTTTTTATATTCTACCCAGTTCTCTTGTACATTTCAAATATAAGTGTGAAGTCTGGGCAGAAGGGCAGTACTGATCCCACTCGTGGCCCGTTTCTTCTCCGAAGACGCATTTCTGTTTTCCAAACCTGTTGTCATCCCCCAGCTAAAAGGAGCGGGAAAACATGGTCTAACAAGAGAGGAGTCCGCAAAGGCTCCTGTTCAGGTGCGTGAGGGACAATAATCAGATGTGGGAGAAAGAGCTGGATGTTCTGGTAAAAAGAGGAGGGCTGGAGGCTGATCTCTTTGGGCTCTCTGGTTGCAAGGAGGAAATCTGTTGGTGTGCAGGCTCCTTGGGAGCTGCCCAGGGGTAATCTGAAACCAGCCCCCTTGTGTGGGGGCAGGGAGAGACTGAAGACAGCGGGTAGGTGGTGGTTTTAATAAGCAAAGGAGGCTTACCCGGGAGGCTCTTCCTGGGTAGCAGCAACGTGAGTAGATCTCCACACCCAGCTGCCAAATCGTGAAAGTTTATACAGACGCCTTACCTGCTTCAGTTGTGTGTACTGTCCAGATGGTGTTGGCCCCCTGTCATTGTCACTGACCTTGGGGTGGCTCCTGGAATGGGGCAGGCAAGTGGAATTCACATTCCAGGGACAGAGGAGGGGGCGAGGCGCTTCCAGTGGTCAGGGTCCAGCTCACGGGTCACTTGGCAGTCATGTTTTCTTGCCGGCTTCCCCGAACAGTCCTATCCGCAGAGCCCGAGACATCCTGAGGATACCACAGGGCTGCTCCCTAGTGTTTAGACAGTTTGGGTCTGTTTGTCTCCATTCTGTCCTTCAACTGCTCCAAGTCTGATGGGGTTGGTTGGACAACTCTCCAGTATGGGCCGGCTCTGTCGGGAGTGTTGGCCTCAGGTGCCCGTCCCTGGGCTGTCATTTGAGGCCATAGTAGTGGATTGGTTTCAATGCTTTCTTTTATTCATTCAACAAATATTTATTGAAAACTGCCTTGTGCCATCTGTGATTCAAGGAATAAAACAGAAAGATCCCGCTGTCATGGAGATTAGATTGTGGCGGGGGGGGGGGGCGGACAAAGAGGGAGGTGATGCAGGGTGTGAGAAGGTGGTAAGTTGTGGAAGGGGACAGAACAGGAGCAGGGGAGGGAGATTGTGAGTGTGGTGGGTGGTGAGGTGCTCGCAGTAGTAAGAAGAAGTAAGGAAGTAGGAGCTGAGGGAAAACTTGAAGGAATGAGGGAGGGAGACTTGCTGTCATCTGAGCAGAGCCCCTAAAGGTCTGTGCGGGGAACCCACCGGGGGTGGTGCTGATCTCACAGTTGTCGAGTACTCCTGAGACCCCTGGTTGGCAGGATTGAACACTTGTCCCATAAAGGAATGAATGAGTACATGGGGTGAATTCCCTTGGTCACTGTGAGGCTCCCCACCTCAAAAGGGGGAGGGACTTTTTTTTTTTTTTTTTAAGATTTATTGTTTTTTAGAGAGTGTGTGTGCGAATGGGGCTAGGGGCAGAGGGACAGAGAGACTCTCAAGCAGACTCCATGCTGAGTGCGGGGCCTGATGTGAGGCTCAATCCCAGGACCCTGAGATCATGACCTAAGCCCCCAGGCGCCCCATGGTGAGGGAGTTCTAAGGGAGACCTAAGAGCAGCCACCCTGATCTTGACCCGCCCCTCCCCGTGAAGAGGTAGAAGCAATTCTTTCCAGGCTCAGACCACGTAAGGCTGGACTAGGCGCATTTTGCCTAAGAGGCCAGGCTTCCTTGTTACCTGGAGGAAGGCGTTAGCATGCCGACCCTGCTGTTCCTAAGCTCCTTGCTGCTCTGTGATGTGGGGTCACATCAGGTTAGAAGCATCCTCTCCTTTTGCACACGCAGTGACCCTCCCGTAGACTCAGGGAACAAGTGACATGTGCCTGGTCTTTTCTGTTTCAGATGGAATGACCAAGGCTGAGGACAGAGAGCTGGTGCTGAGGAAAGACTGTCCTAAGATAGTGGAGTCCCATGGGGAGATATTTTATGGACAGACCTGGGGGGAACCCCCCCAGGACCCCCGACATGGAGAGCTCGGGGACCCTGAGGGTTGGGCAGTGGGGCACTGGGGCAGCCCCCGAGGGGAGGGACGGCACAAGTGTGACGCGTGTGAGAAGAGCTTTGCCCGGAGCTCAGGCCTTGTTTGCCATCAGAGAGTCCACACTGGGGAGAGACCCTATGAGTGTAGTGAGTGTGGGAAGACCTTTAGTCGGAGCTCTGGCCTTTTCAATCACCGAGGGATCCACAACCTACAGAAACGGTACCGCTGTGCGGAGTGCGGGAAGGCCTTCAGTCAGAGTGCGGGTCTGATCCAGCATCAGAGAACCCACAGGGGAGAGAGGCCCCATCTGTGTGGCCAGTGTGGGAAGAGCTACAGTCGGCGCTCGTTCCTCATCGAGCACCAGAGGAGCCACACGGGTGAGCGGCCACACCAGTGCACCAAGTGTGGGAAGAGCTTCAACCGCCACTGCAACCTCATCCGCCATCAGAAGACCCACACGGCGGCCGCACTGGTCTAATCGTCGCTGGCTGCAGATTTCCTGGATCACTGGCCAAGTCGCCGGGGGAGGCTAAGGCTAGAAAACGTCTTTCTTCATGTCCCACTAGGTGCGTTTTGGAACAAGTACTGACCTGAGGCCTGGGCACATCTGAAGAGGAAGGTGCAGGTGTTTGAAGCTGCTGCTTTCCCTTTGGTTCCTTTAGCTGTTCCCGGGTTGCCGTGCCCCCATCCCTCGTAGGTACCGGCTTTGGGACGGCTGCACAACTTTCCCCATCACATAGTCAGTAGCGCTGCCATGGCCACACGCCTGAAGGTCTGTATCTGTTGAGTTCCTTAAGAGCACATAGAGGACTGCTGATGGTTTACAGTAAATGGGCCTGTGGTGTCCCTGTGACCAGTACCTACGGGGCCGACCCCCTTCCCACTCGCTTCTCCGGTGCCCGACCAGCGCTGTTTGCAGACTGCATCCATTTCTGAAGCACAGCTGGCGGGGAAATGGCGCCATCATTGTCCATCTTAAAGACAAGGAAGCCGTGAGGAGTCAGGGTTTAAAAACCTGGACTTTTGGGGCGCCTGGGTGGCTCAGTCATTAAGCGTCTGCCTTGGGCTCGGGTCATGATCTTGGGGTCCTGGGATCGAGCCCCGCATCGGGCTCCCTGCTCCGCGGGAAGCCTGCTTCTCCCTCTTCCACTCCCCCTGCTTGTGTTCCCTCTCTCACTGTGCCTTTTTCTATCAAAAAAAAAAAAAATAAAATAAAAAATAAAAACCTGGACTTCTGTTTTGGGATAATTTAAGCTAATAGAAATGATAGAGCTTTCATATGCTCTTCATGTCCCACCCGTGTTTTTAGTTAAAGCCCCGGCTTTGGGCTTCACTCCCCAGGAGTTTACGGTGCTGTCCTGCTTCACTGGGGTCGTCAGGCTATGTCTGCGGAGCTCGGTCACCCAACAGTCCCTTTGTGCTCGTCCGTCACATCTGCAGCTTTGCAGGCCATCTGTGTCCCGAGTCCAAGGCCACCCTGCGGAGTTGGGTCACCAGCCACATAAGGTGCTTATATTTTTATTCATTCATTCATTCATTCATTTATATTTTTTAAAGATTTTATTTATTTACTTGACAGAGACACAGCGAGAGAGGGAACACAAGCAGGGGGAGTGGGAGAGGGAGAAGCAGGCTTCCCGCGGAGCAGGGAGCCCGATGCGGGGCTCGATCCCAGGACCCTGGTACCATGACCTGAGCCAAAGGCAGACGCTTAACGACTGAGCCACCCAGGTGCCCCTTTATTTATTTATTTTTAAAAATTTTATTTATTTGACCTGAGCTGAAAGTAGCTGCTCAACAGACTGAGCCCCTTTTGATCCAAGTCTCCCTCTCCTTTTTCCCATTTCTCTACTGAGTGGGTGGCCCAGGAAGTCTTATGAACAAAGGTCTTACGAACAGTTTCCCGTCACAGAGATAAATTACCGAATGCACAGCATTACCTACAAATTCCACACAACGCCATCTTGAGGCAGGGCATCCATTTCCCACGCTGTGGGGGAAAGTTCTACCTGCTGCGAGAAGCCCAAGATGAATTTCTGCATCCTAGCAGGCTTAAAGATAGGCCCTGGGATCATCTGATAGAAATGTTGGGCATGAAATCCAGAAATGGTCCGAGGATTGGCTGTTGCTGATTACATTAGGGCTCCCTGCCTTGAGTGAGTTGAGATTCAAAAGTTCAACTCTGAAAGTTGCCTGTCCTCATGCCTTGTTGTGTCTCCAAACCGTGTGGTACAGCGGGACATTAAGGACCAGGAGCCAGGTCGCCGGGGATGGAGTTCCTGCCCAGTGAGGTCTGCAGGGTGGGGCCTTGGAGAAGTCACCTGGAGTGCATTTCCGAGAAGCAGAGCCTGGGCAGGGATTCAGGTCCGGGGCATTTACTGCAGAGGGGCAACTGCAGGGCAGCAGGGGAAGCAGGACGTGGAGGAGAGGGCTGAGCAAGACGTGGTCTCAGAGTCTAGCTGTAACCTAATTTGGGGGAAGGGTGTCTGGAACAAAACTCACCTTGGAGGCCAGGGGCTGGCCTTGTGTGTCCGCACTCACACGCATGAATCGAGGGCGGCCCAGAGAGCCGGGCAGCTGCCCTTGTCCAAGGCCAACTGCCGAGAAGCGGTGGCTTTGAGCCTTTAGCAGCTGGCGCTCACGGTGGCCAGGGGAAGGGAGCGCTGGCTGGGTGCGGGGCAGGGCACAGGACACGGGCAGCTTTCACCGAGCTCAGCCTCTCTGGCCTGTTCCTGTGCTTGCCTGCCCACTTCTCACAGTTTTTCTGAGGAGCAGCAGATAGCAATGAGAGGAAAGGACACTGTGATCTCCAGAATACACATCAAGTGAAGAGAAGGGGACATTATTACTAACTTTGAATATGATCTGTAACAAGGCAAAAGGAGGGTTGGACAGCAGTGAGAGACCTCCTAAGTTAAAGTGTTTGGGGGACTTTTACCTCAATTTTTTAAGAAAGTATATTACAGACTGCTGTCACGTGGGCTTTAGAAATAAATTAATTTGGATCAGGGGAGCAGAGAGAAGAAAGTAAGTTAATATTAAAAAGTGAAGACGTGTCCTGAGTGGAATTCCCTGTTTTCCCTGAACTGGGAGCATTTAGTTCATGCGTAACATAAATGTGCTCTGCAACAGTCTGTCCATTAAATTGGTGTAGGAGTTCTCCCCTCCCAGTGGCTTTCCCCTCCTGCTCATCGCCCCGGGCCTGGCAGGCTGGCACAGGGCTCGGGCTCCATCACGGCACAGGGCAGGCGGGCAGCTCACACAGCAGCCATGTATCTCCCATAGTTCTGGAGACGGAGAGGTCTGCATCCAGGCACCAGCTCAGGCTTAGGTGACTGCACCTTCCTTTGTGCTCACGTGACCTCTCTTTTGTGTGCCTGGGGGAGGGAGGGAGGGAGACGGAGAGACAAACCAAGAGTCAGAGACAGACAGGGGCAGACAGACAGCAAGCTTCTTAAAAGGGCACTAATCCCACCGTCATGACCTGACCTGACCCTAATTACCTCCCAAAGGCCCCATCTCCAAATACCATCACATTGTGGGGTTAATTTTAACATATGCCTGTAAGGGGGGGGGGGACACACAAATAGTCCATCACATGACCCCACTGCTTCCAGTGGCTGCTCTCAACAGGTCTCCATCTGTTTTTTCAGCTCTGCCTGAGAACTAAACATACCTGCATCTTTATATAACCCTGTTACTGTGAATAAGGAGTTTATTTCTTCCTTTGCTCATTTCTCTTAATTGTGATGCACTAGCCAATCTCTGCAGCACAGTGTGGAGCACAAGTCATACTAATAGTCATCCTCCTCTTATTCCTAATTTTGAATGGATGTATCTGATGATTTGGCAAAAAATCACATTTTCTGTGTGTTTCTGATAATTATCCTCATAATATTAAGAATATTCCCTACTCATTTGCAAAAATTCTTTATCATGAATGATTTCTTTTAGAGAATATTAGTCTAGTACCTCTTTCCCATCCTTTACTTTCTAAAAAATTATTTCCTTTGGATATCCTATGTACAGAATTGGATTAATTACAATCCTTGGTATGATTCATGACACACTGTCATCATTGGTCCTTGAATGCCATGATTTTGATTATTTGGTTGGTAACTTAGGTAGTTGATTTAGTACCTAGCACTCATTAATGTGTCATTAAACACAAACAAAACAAAAGATGTTGAAAAACACCTGTATGGCCAATCACTTGGCACCCCTCATCTTTGCCACCCGAATTTCCCGATTAAAGGACATCATCTTGAATCCTGATTTTATAATTTTTTGCTTTCCTATTCCTAAGAACTATAATTTTTAATTGATTTTAATAACTATAAAATTTCCTATGTTCAGTCTTGTCTTTTAACTCATCAATTAATCCAGTTGTGTTTATTATGATTATCAGTTTATTGCTACCACCCAATTTTGTCTTTTCTATTTTCCATGATCTTTCTTTAATTTTTTTCTCAGTTCCTGTTTTATGTTGGTTAGTTTATGTTTTCTTCTCTTTCCCCCATTTACATGTTTGAAAATTACACATTTTTAGTCTTTCTTTTCACTGGTGACACATGAAATTTCAATATGCCCACCTGACTTGTGAGATTATGAAACTAATCTCTGTGTGTGCCCATCTGCATGATATTGCACAAAACTTGAATGCCTCCCAGGAGCCTGCTCCAACTGTTGATTAGTATTTTAGTTACACTTGACCTCAAGTTGAGCTTGTCATTATAATTATTGTTATTAGTGGGTTTTTATAATCAACGACTAATTAGATTTTCACGTATGTGTTTTAACACATTGGTTTTACTCACCTAGGCTTTCTTGAAGATTCGCTTTTGTTGTCACTGGAGCCCGCTTTTCGGTGGTTTGGCATTGGCAAGCTCCGTTAGGCTTTGTGTGAACATGTTTTCGTTCCACTCTCCCCCTTGAATATTGGTTTCCATGTATTTGCAGTGAGAGAGCTCTCATGAACTCAGTCTGCTCAGAAGGCTGACTATTCTTTTCTTTCACCACTTTGAAGTGTTTCTTCCAACTTGAGATTTAGGTCATCCATCAATTCCTGCAATTCTCACTCAACCTCTCCCTCAGAGTTCTCTTGGCTCTCCTGTTACTTGTATGGATTGGGCTTTCTCGCACTCTCGGCCAGGTCTCTTGCTCCCATCGTGTTTTGCTGATCTTCATCTCTCTGTGATATATGTCTTCAGATCAGTCTTAGAATTTACTTATTCTCCATGAGCCATATTTAATATGTTGTTTATTTAACATAGATTTTCATCTCAATGCTTATATATTTCATTTCCTAATGTTTTATTTGATTCTTTTCCAAATCAGTCTGCTCTTCTCATTTTATATCATGTTCTTCCATTTATGGCTTCTAGGCGCCTAAAACATATTTAAATGTTCTAAATACAGCTTCCCGTTGCCTTCAGACCATTATATATCTGAAGCTCTTAGGGAGCCAACTCCGCTGCTCATTTCTACAGACTTTTTCCAGGGTAAATGCTTACTCCTGTGGTCCATTATTTTCTGCCATTGCACATTCTCAAGACGGATATTTTTTTATCTGTGGCAGTGCCCTTGTTGTAGGGCATGGAAGCGTCACTATGGGGTTGTTCTTTTTTTAAATATTTTATTTATTTATTTATTTATTTATTTATTTGAGAGAGAGAAAGAGAACGGGGGAGGGAGGGGAGGAGGAAAGGGAGGGGCAGAGGGAGTGGGAGTGTGGGAGAAGAAGAACCCCCATGGAGTAGGGAGCCTGATGCGGGGCTCGATCCCAGGACCCCGAGATCATGACCTGAGCCCTGAGCTGAAGGCAGAGGCTTTACCAACTGAGCCACCCAGGTGCCCCTGTTTGTTGTGGTTTTAACATATATCCACAAATTCCCTTACACTCCTGCCTTCCAAATTCAGAGTCTAATTCCATTCTTCTTGAGTGTGAGCTGAATTTATCCTCTGGTTCAGAGATTCCCTCGTCTCTGTGCCCAGTTTTCTAAAAAGCCCATCAAAGGCACTCTTCATTTTTGTTACAGTGCTTTTCATGTCTAGCGCTTCTTTTTTGGTTCTTTCCTAAGATTTCCATCTGTCTGCAGACATCGCCAATGCACCTGTTCTTGCACACTATCTGCTTTATCTGTTAGAGCCCTTAGCATATTTTTCGTAGTTATTTTAAATTCATGGTCTGATAATTTCAATATTCCTGCCATGTGTTGTTCTGATGCTTGTGCTTTCTTTTCAAATTGTGTTTTTTCCCTTTTGGTATGTCTTGTCATTTTTTTCTTGAAAACCAGACAAGATGTACTAAGTAGAAGGAAGTGCTTAAAATGGCCTTTAGCAATGTGGTAGCAAGGTGTGGAAAGCATTCTATTTTTATTTATGTATGTGTGTATGTATGTATTTGTCTTAGAGCATGCATGTATAAGCAGGGTAGGGGAGAGTTGGGGGTGGTGCAGAGAGAGAATCCCAAGCAGACTCTACACCCAGCACAGAGCCTGAGTTGGGGCTCGGTCCCACAACCTGAGATCATGACCTGAGCCAAATCAAGAGTTGGGCACTTAACCAACTGAGCCACCCAGGTGCCCCCAAAGGATTCTATTATTAAAAACAGGACAGGGGCGCCTGAGTGGCTCAGTCTGTTAAGCATCTGCCTTCGGCTCAGGTCATGGTCCCAGGGTCCTGGGATCGAGCCCTGTGTTGGTCCCCCTGCTCAGTGGGGAGTCTGCTTCTCCCTCTACCTGCTGCTCCTCCTTGCTTGTGCTTTCTCTCTCAAATAAATAAATAAAATATTAAAAAAAAAAACAAACTATAAGACAGCAGGCCCCACATGCAATCACTTATGCTAAGCCTCACATCATCAAACTGAGATGTAACTTAAATACCGTTTCAGCTCTCCTGGAACTGGAATCATAAACCAGTCGATCAGGAATCAGCTGGTCAGCACTAGTTAGGGAACGTGCCTGGTAGGTGCCTGTTGCCCCTACAGGAAAGTGGCCTTGCAATGACCAACCTGATTTTTCTGCCCAGAGTATCTTCCTTGTTCCCAGACCCTTCTGCCTTTAAGTCTTTCAGTTTGTACAGCTTCTCTCCATCTGATAGATGGGGTGCTGCCCAATTCACAAATTGCTGAATGAAGCCAATAAGATCTTTAAAATTTACTCAGTTGAATTTTGCTGTCAGTGAGCCTCTGTGTCTGGACTGAACTTTGCAAGTGTTCCCCAGTGCCCCCTTGTCTTCGATGGAACGTGGTGGCTGAAACTGGTGATTCCTTTCTCCCACAAGAAAGGCTAGAGCTGGCTGAATTGGGGATTTCTCTTCCCCCAGGTCAGTGAGGATCTGATAGCACCCTAGCAGATTAGGCTCAGGATAGCTAGTCTCTCCTGGAAGGCAGGCCTTATTAAAAAGAACAGAGTGCTCTGACATATCTAAATGGTCCCCTTTCCTCTCCTCCAGCTGGAAGCACAAGGGCATTTTTCTCTACTATTTCCTATGGAAATCTGGTCAAGCTCCTGGAGGTAAAACACACAGTATTGTGGGGGCCTCCCTGTGACCGGAGCTCCCTGGAGTGTTCATCTCTCAGGGTTGCCCGCACTGAGCCTCCAGCCATTCCTCCATTCGTATTCGGGCTTTCCTACCCTCGCCTGGTAGCAGGCAGTTACTACTCTGGAGTTTCTGCTTCCCACACCTTCCCTTCCTGGATTCGTCTGACTGTCCAGTCACGGGCCTGCGGTTCGTCGCGTCCTCCCCTCTCCCTGCATCCAAAAGAGCTACTGGTTTCTCAGTGTGTTCAGGACAGACTGGCAACTCGCAAGCTCCTCACATGTAGAACCAGGAACCTGACGCTGTGTGTAAGCAGAGGTCAGCCACTCGCTTCTCACAGCTAGACTGGGGGGGGGGGGGGCTGTGTAACACCTGACGCCAGATCACTGAAGAGCGGGGTGTCCAGCTGCCTCGCAGGCCGTTCCCGGGAGGGACGTCAGCCACCATATGCCATCACACTCAGTGAGCTGGGTGGATGGGCCCTGGGAGACCTGAGGCCTCCTGCCGGCCAGCCATGCTAATGAGCCCCGTTGGAAGGAAGTCCTCCAGCCCCAGTTCAGGATGACAGCAGCCTTGGTTGAGCCTTGACTGGAACCGCAAGGAAGACCCTGAGCTAGAATTACCCACTTATCCTGAGTTCCTGAATTACAGAAATTGTAAAAGATAATAAATGTGGTTTCAAGCCACAGAGTTTTGAAGTAATGAGTTATACAGAAATAGGTAGGGGCGCCTGGATAGCTCTGTCAGTTAAGTGTCTGCCTTCGGCTCAGGTCATGATCCCAGGACCGAGGGATCCGAGGACCGAGTCCCGCATCGGGCTCCCTGCTCAGCAGGGAGTCTGCTTCTCCCTCTCTCTCTTCTGCTCCCCACCGCTCATGCTCTCTCTCTCAAATAAATAAGTAAAATCTTAAAAAAAAAAAATGAAAGAGCTAGCTCAACACACTGCCTTACTGGTGGCCTATATCAAGTGTAGTATCTCTGAAGGTTTCTTTAGCACCATTTCATAACCGTGCCTGGTACCTGCATGTTCCCTCCTCATTTCTGGCACCTGGGAAATTTCCTGTTCTTTCTTTGAAGCTCAGCTATTTAAATTTTCTGTTGTTATACTTTATCATTTACTTGTGCCAGTTGGCCATGCTAACATGATTTTCTGTAAAATTATAAATTACTAAAATTAACTCCAGAAAAGATAGAAAATTTAAAGAGACTACATATTTCTTAGAATCAAGTTTGATTAAATATGATAACATAGTTCAAGTAATGGCTTAAATAAAACTTCATTTATCTTTTTTATAAAAGAAATATAGAGACAGATAGTTTAGGACTGGTATGGCAGCTCCATAATGTCATACATACACACACATATTGTTTCCAGGGATATAGGCTTATACATTTCTGTTAAACCACTGTGGTATCTGCTGACATTTCTCATGATCAACTTAGGATCCAGTGAATCTGCTAGATCTCCAGCAATCACATCTGCAATATAAGAGTAAAGGAGTAAGGAAAGCAGAATGAAAAATAAAAGTCCAGCCCTAGCTGAGTCAACTCCCTGTAGGTCCTTCTCTGAAAGCCCCACAGAGCACTTCCACAGGTGCCCCATTGACTTGAACATAGTCTCGAGGCTACGATCAGCTGCTTGGGAGACTGTAAAAAGTTGTCCCATATTCCAGTGGTGCTGCATTCAGATAGAATCAGGATTATGGCTCTGAGGAGGAAAGGGAAAATGGATGTTGGGTGGACAGTGAGCAATCTCTGCCGCAGACTGAGAAGAAACAGAAAAATTATCAAAGTTCTAGCCCTAAGACAGTGCCAGGTTCAGTGAATTTCACAGTAAAATCTATAAAAACTCTAAGGAACATAAAGCTGTTTTTATTTAAACTTTCCTGGAGCACAGAGAAAAAAAGGAAATTATTCCAAATAGGGTTTTTTTTTCTAGTTTTGTTGAGAAATAATTGACATACATCACTGTATAAGTTTAAGCCAAGTTCTTTTATAAAGTAAATATTACATTGATATTAAGACCTGTCAAAACTAGCATAGAGAAAACTACCAATCAAATTTACTTATAAATATTCAAAACTCTTAAATAAATACTAGCCCAAAAGGTCCAGAGCACATTGAAAGAAGGATGGACTATGACTGATAAAAATTTAATACCCATTATTAAACTAGGAATAAATAATTACAAATTAAATCTTAAAAATAACTTCCAAATTGGCAGCATGAGGAGCTCCAAGGACCCACTCAGAGTGAAACAGTCATAACTGGTGAACACTACCACTGACAGTCTCTGGAAATTGTCCTAAGAGCACACAGCAAATAAGGAAACATTTGTTCAAGAAAATCTACTAAATTTTGGTAAGAACACGATCTGTAGCACTTGTGCCGTGAACTGCTTCCTGTCCGATCCCCATCCACGGGCTCAGCGTGAGGGAAGCTCCAGTCTGGTGCTTATGTCTAAGAACATGGGGCTCCCAGTTCCCCAGGCTCAAGCAAAGCCTAAGGCACCCCCCTCCCCCAAGAGGGACAAGGTACCAGCATGTTTTTAATCCCTTCAAAGCTCTATTTTTTCAGAGACTAAACTCCAGGCAAATATGACCAGTAAGTCCAGAAGAGCTCTTTCCCCGACCCAGCCCCCGTTCATGGGGCAGAGGGTCTATGAAGAGCTCTTTCCCCCACCCAGCCCCCGTTCATGGGCAGAGGGTCTACGAAGAGCTCTTTCCCCTACCCAGCCCCTGTTCACGGGCAGAGGGTCTATGAAGAGCTCTTTCCCCCACCCAGCCCCCGTTCATGGGCAGAGGGTCTACTTCAGGCATGGCAGGCTGAGAGAACTGGAGCCCCAAAAGCCCTCACAGAAGCTATAGGGCCGAGGTTCCATGCTGGGAAGACTAGAGGCTACACTCTAATCATAATGCAGAAGTGTCACTGAGAGAAGTGGGTCACTGTCCCTGTCCTCAGCTCTGGAGCAGTGACTCTTATTTTGCCCCGGTGAAGGGGCGGGTGTAAGAGCAGAGTGCTTTGAGGCTCTTCCCAATGGAACTGACTGTACTTGGAACAGATTATGCGAAAGGTCAAGCCTAAAGGTACTCTCTGAAACAGTGGAGATTTTGGTATTAGGCAATTTAAAGGAAGCTGATAACTCCATGAAAGCTAAGTAATAAATCTTAGGCTGGCTAGTTTACCAAGGAGAACCAGGAAAAAAGACAAGTAAGAAGAACCCTCTTGGAGTCAGAGAGAAACCTTATACATACTGGCCCTCAAAACTATCCCTACACAGGGGTTTAAATTTAATTGTATCATACTTGAATATTTTATGGCACAAGGTATTGTTGAAAACAATAGAGCAATCAGCTACCAATTAATGATGCCGAACTGCTGGATGTGATACCAACAAAGACAGGTTCCTAAACAAAGAGGGCCAACGGAGATAGCCCTTCTAAACCACTATCATATCATATCCCATTGTGTATATATACCACAGTTTCTTTACCCACTTATCCATCAGTGAGCACTTAGCTTGTTTCCGTATCTTGGCTATTGTAAATAATGCTGCAGTGAACATGGAAGTGCATATATCTTTTTGAGTAGTGTTTTTTTGGTTTTTGTTTGTTGTTTGTTTTGTTGTTGGTGGTTGTCTTGATAAATACTCAGAAGTGGAATTCTGGATAATAGGGTAGTTCAATTTTTAATTTTTTGAGGAACCTCCATACTGTTTCCGTGGCTGCACCAAATTTACATTCCCACAAACTGTGCATGAGGATTCCCTTTTCTCTGCATCTTTGCCAACATTTGTTATTTCTTTGTCTTTTTTGATAATAGCCATTCTAACAGGTGTGAGGGGATGTCTCATTATGGTTTTGATTTGCATTTCCCTGATGATTAATGATGTAGGGCATCTTTTCATGTGTCTGTTGGCCATCTGTATGTCTTCTTTGGAAAAATGTCTATTCGGATCTTTTGCCCATTTTTTAGTAGTTGGATTTTTGTTTTTTTGTTTGTTTTGTTTTGCTATTGAGTAGTATGAATTCTTTATGTATTTTGGATATTAGACATTTATCAGATAATGTGATTTGCAAATATCTTTTCCCATTCCATAGGTTGCCTTTTCATTTTGTTGGTGGTTTCCTTTTTTGTGCAGAAGATTTTTAGTTTGATGCAGACCCACTTGTTTACTTTTGCTTTTGTTGCTATTGCTTTTGTTTTTGGTGTCAGATTCAAAAAATCACTGTCAAGACCTACATCAAAGAGCTTACTGCCTGTGTTTTCTTTTAGGAGTTTTATGTTTCAGGTCTCCCATTCAAGTCTAATCCATTTTAATTTTTGTATATGGTATAAGATAGTGGTTCAGATTCATTATTTTGCATGTGACTGTCCATTTTTCCCAACATCATTTATCTAAGAGACTGTCTGTCCTTTTCCCATTGTATATTCTTGGCTCCTTTGTCATAAATTAATTGATCATATATGGGTGGGCTTATTTCTGGGCTCTCTATTTTGTTTCATTGATCTATGTGTCTGTTGTTATGTCAATGCCATACTCTTAATTACTATAATTTTATAGTATAGTTTGAAATCAGGGAGCATGATGACTCCAGCTTTGTTCTTTTTCAAGATCGCTTTGGCTATTCAGGGTCTTTTATGGTTCCATACAAATTTTAAAATTGTTTGTTCTATTTCTTTGAAAAATGCCATTGGAACTAAAATTTTTTTTATTTAAATAAGGAGAATTCTTTCAGATGAAAAAAATTCCTGTCTTTGAAAGGAGAAACAACAGGTACTGATCCAGAGGGAAGAGCAAAGGGCAAGTGTGCCACCATGGCATGCTGAATCCATGATTCCATTTCCCATCCAAGGCGAAAGCTTCCCAAATCATTGGAATTTTAATAGGGATTTCATTGAATCTGTAGATTGCTTCAGGTAGTATGGACATTTTAACAATATTAATCCTTCCAATTCATGAACATTGAATATCTTTCCATTAATTTGTCTTCCATTTCTTTCATTAATGTCTTATAGTTTTCAATATATAGATCTTTTACCTCCTTAGTTAAATTTACTTCTGGGTATGTAAATCTTTTTGGTATAATTATAAATGGGATTGTTTTCTTAATTTCTCTGATAGTTCATTATTAGTGTATAGAAACATAACAAATTTTTGTGTATTGATTTTGTATCCTATAACTTTACTGAATTCATTTAGTGGTTCTAACTGTGTGTGTATGTCTAGCATTTTTTTTTCTTTTCTTTTTTAAGATTTTATTTATTTATTTGTCAGAGAGAGAGCACAAGCACACAAGCAGGGGGAGTGGCAGGCAGAAGGAGAAACAGGCTCCCTGCCGAGCAAGGAGCCTGATGCAGAACTCAATTCCAGGACCCTGGGATCATGACCTGAGCTGAAGGCAGATGCTTAACTGACTAAGCCACCCAGGCGTCCTGCATTTTGTTTTGTTTTGTTTTGTTTTGTTTTTGGCATCCTGCATTTTCTATATATCATACCATGTCATCTGCAAATAATGACAATTTCATTTCTTCCTTTCCAATTTGGATACCTTTTTATTTCTTTTTCTTGCCTAATAGCTCTGGCTAGGTCTTTCAATACTATGTTGAATAAAAGTGGTGAGTGGGCAGCCATATCTTGTTCCTGATCTTAGAGGGAAAGTTTTCAGCTTTTCACTTTTGATTATGATGTTAGCTGTGGGCTTGTCATATATGTCCTTCATTATGTTATATTCTCTCTATACCCACCTTGTTGAGAGTTTTTATCACAAATGATGTTAAATTTTGTCAAATGCTTTTTCTCCATCTATTGAGATGATCATACAATCTTTCTCCTTCATTTTGTTAATGTGGTGTATCATATTGACTGATTTGCAAACCATGGAAGGCCCTACTGTTGTTGCACTGCTGTCTATTTCTCCCTTTATTACTTTTTAAAATATTTAACATACAGTGTAATATTGGTTTCTGGAGTTATTTCTCCCTTCGTGCCTGTTTAGTATTTGCTTTACGTACTTAGGCACTCCTAAGTCGGGTGCATAAATATTTACAAATGTTAAGATTTTATTTATTTATTTGACAGAGAGATGGAGAGCACAAGTAGGCAGAGCGGCAGGCAGAGGGAGAAGGAGAAGCAGACTCCCTGCTGAGCAGGGAGCCCGATGCGGGGCTCAATCCCCCTGGGATCATGAACTGAGCTGAAGGCAGATGCTTAACTGACTGGAGCCACCCAGGTGCCCCCAAATGTTATATCCTCTTGTTGGATTGACCCCTTTATCATTATGTCATGTCCTTGTCTTTTATTAGTCTTTGTTTTAAAGTTTATTTTATCTGATATAAGTATAGCTACTCCAGCTTTCTTTTGGTTTCCATTTGCATGGAATATCTTTTTTCATCCCTTAACTTTCAGTCTTGTGTGTCCTCACATCTATAGTGACTGTCTTGTAGGCAGCATATAGGTGGGTCTTGTCTTTGTATCCATTCAGCCACCCTATGTCTTTTGATTGGAGAATTTAGTCCATTTACATTTAAGGTAATTGATAGGTAAGTGCTTATCGACATTTTGTTAATAGTTTTCTGTTTTTGTAGTTCCTCTCTTCTTTTCTTGCAGTCACAAAAATTGGGGCACCAGACTGGGTATGAGCTCCTTTTGGAGGTGACGCCAAATACTACAGTCCCATGAGACCAGGAACATAAGCTTCCCTGGCCTCCAGAGCCAGATGATCCAGAAGCATCCCCTAGGTGGCAGCCACAAAAATGGAAACACCAGAGGCATGTAAAAGCTTGTTTATGAGAGATACTGGTGCTCTAGAGCATGGTAAAGGGAGACTGCAAAGATGGCACCTGCCAGTTTCCTCTCTGGAATGTTCCAGCAGGCTCCTAGGTATATATTCAGTTAGATGCTTGCTCCTCAGGCCAGTGTTTTAATAGAAGCAGGTGAGCCTCCTTCACCTTTGATCTGAGTGCTATCAGCTGCCTCTGAGCCCTGTAAGAGCAGTTTCTCAGATCACATCAGTCTTTCGGGTCTTGGGACGCAGGCCCCTGTTGGTCTTCAGGTGTATGTTTTGAGGAGTTGTCTCTCAAGTGTATGTCTTAAAAGTTGGTATACCTGATGTGGGTTTGAACACATTGCTCCTCAGGGAGAAGCTCCAGGTTTTGAGTTCCTTCCCACTTGTGGGTCACTGTGCCAGGGGTGGGCTTTATTGTGAAATTGTGTTCCAACTCTTATATGCCTCGATGTGGTTTTCTTCTTGTTTGCCAGGTGTGTAGTTGTCACTCAGCCAACCTTTGTTTTTTAAGAGGAAATTGTTCCATTCTAGCTGGACTCAATGTGTCTCTGGGTGGAAGCAAGTTCAAGGTCTCCTATGGTGCCACTTTGAACCTGAACTTCCCAGCACTTGTTTGTATAAGTGGTCCTCACAACCCTGTGGGTAATCTGTCCCTTTTTTTTTTCCTTCTGAAGGAGAAAACAGTGTTTCATAGGGTTATATACTTCACCAAAATTAAGAACACATCTAGGAGGGCTATTCATCAAAAGCTCCTTTCCTAATAACTCTTCATTCTACCCAAATGGAAAAAATGTTATAACCAGCTACTTACTCATGCAAAGGGAGAAAAAATAAAATGGAGCTTTTCTGCATTGCAGCAGTTGGAAAAATGAAGTAGATGGCTGACTAATCAACACTAAAATTCATAAAAACAATTTTTAAAACAGCACAAAAGTGGCATTTTATTCTACTTTAAATACTGGCCATATCTTAACTAAGCAGCTTATTTTCCTGGATTTAATTTCATCTGGAAATAATTTTTTGACCACACTATTAAATAGGCTAGGTTTGAAGCCATTTTCTAATTTACTTCATAAACATACATTTGCTTTATACAAAAGCAAGATTTCCAAGACTACAAGCAAAGTAATTTTTTAAGTTGAAATTACACAATACTGCCAGATGGATAATACTTTGATCGTGTCAGTGGCTCCCTGGTACTTACTGAATACAATTTAAACGCCTTGCTCTGGCACTGAAGACCCCTACAATGTACCTATTTCAAACTTGCCTTAGTTCCTAAATCTGACAAACTCCTTTAGTAATCCCAGCTCTTTCACACATCACCCTATCCATGTGCTAACAGCTCACAGCCAGAAATAACCTTTTCCTGAGATTCCTTGTCTTTCAGCTCACCATTCCCAAGGCATTTCTCATGGCACTGTCCAATTTATGTGCATGTCTTATCAACTTTAGTATACTGAAACCCTAAGCCCAAGTATGTATGTGTGCATATGTTTTATCTTTCATTATCAGACATAATAAGCACTTGGAAGTATTTTTCTACAATATTTCCTCCTCTACAGAGAAGGCTTTAAGGCTGGGAAAGAGCAGAAAGAGTGAAGGAGGCACAGCGGTCCCGTTAATCCCAGTTAAGTTACACGTGTATAATGCTTTCTGGTTTATAAAAAGCTTTCACATGCATTTCTCCCCATGACATAAAAAAAAGTACCGAAGAAAAATGAACAATGTTTAAGATCAAGGCTATGAGCCAATATTTAGGAAAAATAGAGAAAAGGAAATTGCTAGCTTTGTGGAAGTTAACAAAAGATTAATTTAAGGAAATGTTAAAAGGCTAAAAAAGAGTAAGTGGAGAAAACCTGTAAAAGTTTGGAAAGCTATAAAGCTTTAAATTAGACTGCAATGAGGGGAAATGAAGGCAATGAAAGACTGCAGGAAAGTGATGAGGGAAAGCCCCAGAACCTGCAAAGTCTCTTGTTAGCCTGTGTTGCTTCAGAGTAGGAACCCAGAAAGGGTACTTGAGAGCACAGGAAACACTATGCTGGTGACTGAACAAAACATGGCCCTGAGATCCATGAGAAATGGAATCCATTCTTGGCACAGCCTGGTAAAGTTGGAAGCTGGTGATACCAGGAAGATGTCAGCCTTTGAAGAACTCAGTAGAAGGTGATTTGGGTGAAAACAAGAGATATCACAAAATTCTTATTGTGGCTTCACATGTTGATACTCTGGACATTGTCGAGTACGATTCCAATGTAATTCTGAACAGATACATTTTCTCCTACTGCCCATACTTGGGTTCCCATCCTCATTGGCTGCCTCTGACTTTATCTTCCTATCCTGACGCATCCAAGGAGCAGTTCTGAAAACATGAATGAAGCTTGTTATAAATATCTGGTGTGAATCCTCTCACCTGGAGGAAATCATAAGCTGTGATTCAAATTGGCTCGAAGTTGGGAGGGAGGGATACAGATGGTGTCTTGGCAATTTGTTGGGCCCAAGATAACTAAAAGGTGAGAAACAAGCTGTTGAACATCAAAGAATTTACATCAAAATTCATAACCAGTTGGATCTGACTTGATCAATTCACTTTTTATTTACCTGAATGTGAAAGGTTTCCCACTAAAAAGTAGCAAAATTAATGTGAACAAATATATAATTAACATTGAAGAATGGAGTTCTCTGGATGGAGAGGTCTCACCACATCTGAATGACCAGCGGCTTAAGGCATTCTTCTACAAGTACTATGCTGATGAAGAAATACGGATTCCCCCACCCCAACTCTGACGATCTTATGTACGTGGCAATAAGTACACAACTGACCCACAATCTCCAAGAATTATACACAAAAACAAGTGGCCTTAGTTAGAAAGGCCTCAGAAATCTAGACCACACTAGATTTTCAGAGCTATGGAGGTCACTTCACTGGTATATTTAATGTTTATAAGCACCTATATGAAAGGCACAGTGGGGAGTGTAAGATGTCATGGATCTGACCAACTGATGGAGGATTCTTTATAGGCAAAATGGTCAGAGCAGCAGCCCCCAGCCTTCTGCCCACGAGACATCATAAAGTGCTGGCTGGAGGTGGTGAGCCAGTCTGGAAGCCCGTTTCAGTCCAGTAGGTGAGAATAAACATTTCAGGTCCTACCCCTTCCAGACAACTCTCCTGTAACCTCCTATCAAATAAGCTGTTCCTCAGCCACCCTCTAGAATGTAGAAGAGAATCCATCTCAGCCAGACTCTGTGTCTTCTAACACAAGGTGACGGGAATGGTCAGTAAAGCCCAGCCCAGTTTCTGTGGTCAGGAAGGGCTGCGGGTGGCTTCGGTTCAATGAGGAATGAGCACGAACTCTGCCACATAGGACGTGGGTCACTGCGATAGGACTTTTTTTCCGACGTGGCTTCTCTGATGTTGAACAAGGTATGAAGTTCGAGTGAAGCCTTTTCCACAGGTTTCGCACTGATAGGGTTTCTCACCAGTGTGGATTTTTTGGTGTTCGATAAGGCTTCTGTTCCGAGTGAAACTTCTCTCACACTCGTTACATTTGTAAGACACGGGAGCCTCGACGTTTTCCCACTGGCCTTCCGCCCTCCCCTGGCTCTCCCAGATCTCTCCATGTTCGGGATCCTGCACATTTCTATCGCCATGGATCCTCTGGTGTCTCAGGAGGTGTGAATTCCGCCTGAAAGCTTTACCACACATGCTGCACTGGTAGGGTTTCTCCCCCGTGTGGATTTTGTGATGTTCTAGGAGGCTGCAGCTCTGGCTGAAGGTCTTCCCACAGTCCTCACACTCATAGGGCTTCTCCCCAGTGTGGGTTCTCTGGTGTTTGATAAGGTTTGAGCTGTGACTGAAGACCTTGCCACATTCTTCACACTCATAGGGCTTCTCCCCAGTGTGGACTCTCTGATGGATGACAAGGGCAGAGCTCCCGATGAAGGTCTTGCCACAGTCCTCACATTCATAGGGTTTCTCACCAGTGTGGATTCTCCTGTGTTTAGTCAGGCCCGAACTCTGAGCAAAACTCTTTCCACATTCGTGACAATAGTGCCGCCTACTTCCTGTGGCATTTTTCTGCTTTCTTGGTAACCTGCCCTCCTGTTCGCCAGCTTCTAGACAGGCAGGAATCTGGGCAATGTCTTCACGCAAGTGGCACGGTACTTCCCCAGGCTCTTGTCTTGGATGTTGCTCATCTGGGGGCAGGTCCGTGATCTCAGCCTGCATGTTACCACCTGAAATAACAAGTGGCCAGACATGGTCACTTATGCCCTGCCACAGGGTTCCACAGACGCTGGGATGAGGATTTCCGTGAAAGGATAAGGGTGGGAATAATGGGGGACAACGGGTGCTGGGGAGGAAGGAGACCGGAGAATAGGCATGGGGCCATCGGGAGCAGGGTGCACACCGGGAGTGGAGGAAGGTGGTGAGGACTGTGCTGGGGACACACACAGAGGCTCCAAGTCCTCAGGACGAAGGCAGGGCCCTGCACTGGGGCTGGACGCTAGGAGGGCTGGGCAGAAGGCAGCAGGAAGCAGGCAAGTGTAAGGACTTGCAAAACGTTCTGTAAGAAACGGGGCAAGTGGGAACTTAGAAAGTGACCCCTAATCAGGGATACGAGCAGTCACTCTGATCCCAGACAAGGACTGGCTTCGGTGCTGACAGATGTGAGCTGGAGCTCCCACTGTACCGGACGGAGCGGCGTGAGCTCAGACGAGTCAAGCTGTTGCCCTGTGCCCTGTCCCCTGATCTCTAGGTCAGCTCTGCTATCCATTCCAGGCCGCTTCTTGCTCTCCTGCTGTGTGGGCCCACGGCCCATTTCCTGAAGAGGACCCAGCTCTCCTCTGTCGAGGCTGGCAATGGGGAGGGGATCAACACTGCGCACCTCCTGGGAGCGAGGCCTGTGCTGGGGGTTGCATGGGCTGCATCCCACTTCACCAGAACACTGGCAGACGGGGAAGGAGGCAAGGTCACAGGGGGGTTAAGGAGCTGGTCACACATGTGGGTAGGAGCTGGGGTTCAGAAATGGTGGCTCTGAATGCAAACAGTTCAAACAGGTTCTCACAGCCCGGTAGGTTCTGACTGATAAAGGAAGCCCCGAAACCCTAGGAGAAACCAGCACCCCTCCGTCTTACCCAGGGGGGTCAGGCCGCCACAGTTCTCCTGCCTTTCATCTCTGTGGAAGCTCCCCCGAGGTGAATCCAGCTGTGTCCATGCAGGGGAGAAAGCCAGGGCCACATCTTCTGTTTTCAGCAAGCCCTGAAACGGTACACGATCCCACCTAGCTCCTCTTCCCCAGTGTCACGCCCACAGCTGGGCACAGGAGAGTGAACGTCCCCTTCTCAAGGGGCTCTTTAAAAAGACCAAGTGTGGTGCACTATACCTATTTACCCCTATCTCTAATAACATTTTTTTCAAAAAAATATATATAACCATTAAGGAAGAAATATCACACACATTTGAAAAATACTTTCATATAAATATCTAAATAGTTCAGAACGTAAAAGGGTTTGGAAAACAAGGGACAGTACAGGGCAAGGAAGAGAAACATACCCAAACCTTTCAAAATATTTGTGCTGTGCTTTGGCAAAGTGGCCTGGGGGCTTATTTATATTAACGATTTTAAATATACAATGAAATCTAGGTCTAAAGTGGAAAAAAAAAACAGGGAAAACATAGATATTACAGGGCCTCAAACACTGAGATCTTCCAGCAGGACATGAAAGACAGGGTAAGGTATTAAAGTGAAGAGGTTAAGTAAAGAGTGTTGAGACTGCAATATTAAACCTTCGACTAAAGAGCACGTCTCATCTGTTCCTTCAAGTTTAAGTCCCTAGAGGGCAGAGGCCATGTGCTTATAACTCGCACTAAGAGCACAATTTATGAATCTTTAAAAAACAAAGCTAAATGTTCATTACAACAAAGCGTTCGGTTTGTATTTGCTAAATCGCCTTGTGGAAGAAGAAAATCCCACTGATAAAGAAGCTGACCAAACAGATGGGGCATGAAGACTGGGGAATCAGATAGCACCCCGCGCTAGGAGTAAAACAAAAAAATTCTTGTAAAATAAAGGCAGATAATAGTAAGCAACCTTGGGATTGATGAGAAAACTCCAACTCCATGTGGATGTAGGATGAGGGAGGAGGAGTGGGAGAAAGGGACCTAACGGGAAGCCCAACAGCAGTGAGGAGTGCTGGGGAGGGGGCTCCAGCTCACCTGGGCCTCGGAGGGCAGCCTGGCAGCCACCACTGCGTCTCGTCGGCAGCGCCCTCCCGGGGCCAGCCCAGGAACCTGGAGAACTAAGAAGGAAAGACGCTCTGGATGAGATGGACCCTGGCACCCAGCCTCCCTGACCTGTGGATTCCAAGTTCAAAAACTGGGCTAGTAAATTCCTGCCAGGAAGTTCATACAGAATGTGCTCCGTTCCCCAGTGCCTGGTCCCTACCAGCTCCAACCGTAGGGCCTAGAGACGTGTGGTGTGCTCCTGCAGATATGCATGACATGAAAGCAACATCGAAAGAAAACAAAGCTTGGGACACCTGGGTGGCTCAGTTGGTTAAGCGACTGCCTTCGGCTCAGGTCGTGATCCTGGAGTCCCGGGATCGAGTCCCGCATCAGGCTCCCTGCTCAGCGGGGAGTCTGCTTCTCCCTCTGACCCTCTTCCCTCTCATGCTCTCTATCTCTCGTTCTCTCTCTCTCAAATAAATAAAAAAATCTTTAAAAAAGAAAGAAAACAAAGCTTTCCATTTGAAGATCTTCAGTCTTGAATTTTGCTGAGAGAATGGATAAGAAGATTTTTGATGTTAAAACAACTCTACTAGCTCTTAGGGTGTTTCTGCTTTAGTTTTAAAAAACTAAGAGTCAGATGGGGTTAGGCCTAGAAAGAAGAAAATGAATAACGCTTACATGGAACTTGCTTAGATTTGAGAGAAATAAAGGGTCACTTCCAGTTTTCCTGGAAGAGCTGAACTTTGCAAGGGGCAGAGAACAAAATAGTTTAGGTCAGAACCTGTGTGGAGAAATAAAGACTGCGTGTTGGCTGGTGGGTCCCAGGGCTGTGTGTCTTGGGAATACACCCAAATGTGCACAGCATACAGGGGACATATGTTGCTTTCCCATGGAGTGATTCTCACCCTGTTCTACTTACAGACCAAGGGTTTAGAAGATTTATACTCTTTGATTTGCAGCAGTCCTACAATGTCTGGGATTTACATTTCTTGCCTTATATTCTTCATAGCACTTACCAATAACTAAAATCTCATCATTACATTCTTTGCCATCTTCCTGTTTAGAATGTAAGCTCCAGCGAAGCAAGAAATCTGTCTTACTGACAGCTCTATCCCTGGTGCCAGAACACTGGCTACCACACTGGGCGGGGGGAGGGTCCTCCATAAATTCATGTTAAATGAATGGAGGTCACTCTGTTATTAAAAAATCAATTCTTTCCAAACACCAGTTTTAATAGTCTTATATTTACTAGGTCCAGGTTTGGTTAGAAAAGCTTCCCACCATTGTTTGAAATTTCCCTATCATCTGAGTCTAAAAGTAAAGTAGATCTGTGATGGGCATATAAAGCACCTGTCAACAGATCTGTCTTTTAAATGAACCTGGATGAAGTCTGTAGAATTCTTACTGCCCAGAAGATAACACTCACCTCTATCTGCGGAGGCCTGGGATCCCAGAGATTCGTGCTTGAGCAGAGGCTTCACTGGCTGCAACTGGGTACTCCATGGCCTCTGAGCTGGCGTCAACACCGCCATCTTGCAACAGAGTAGCTGCCTCTGGTCACCACCTGGGACCTGGAAGTCATTCACGTATTGATTCATCAAAACTTCTATTATGTTTTCTATGTGCTAGTAACTTTCTATTTTCCAGGCACTATTTCTAAGAGCCTTATGAATATTCACTGAATGCTGATAACAATACTATGAGCTAGGGACTATTATTATCTGTATTTTTGTAATGAGGAAACGGAGGCCCAGAGCTGAAGCAACTTGCCCAAGGTCATCCAGCTAATAAGTGGTGATGCTAGGATGGGGGGTCAGGCAGAGGGAACCCAGAGTCCATGCTCTTAACCACTACCAATGCTCCTTCATTATATACATTGTGCTCTTTGGGAACTAGTGTTAAGTTCTCAGAATATTCATAATTTTTATTACTGAAAATAGAAATAATACTTTCTAGCTTACAAGGTCTGGAGGACTAGTAAATAAGATGTGAAATAACCTAACAAATGGCTTGGTACATGGTTCATCCTCATTAAGTGCATGTTTCTTTCCAGGCATTTGTAATTAGTTCTGAATCCACTTTCATGATCATTAGCTTATATGCAGCTTAGAATTCCCAAATCCTCTATATATAAACGCACAACCTGATACTAAGATACTTGAAGTTTTCACTGTTATAGGGCTCGGAGGCACTACTGCCAATTCAAGTAGTAATGTCTCCTAGTCACCAGTTACTCTGGTTATGTGTTCCCTGAAAGGAATGCACAAAAATACAGGCTAATGCACAGGGAAAATGGTCTACAGGGCACCTGGGTGGCTCGGTCGTTAAGCGTCTGCCTTTGGCTCAGGTCATGATCCCAGGGTCCTGGGACTGAGCCCCACATTGGGCCCCCTGCTCTGCAGGCAGCATGCTTCTCCCTCTCCCCCTGCTTGTGTTCCCTCTCTATGTCTCTCTCTGTCAAATAAATATTTTTAAAAAATAAATAGTATCTTTTAAAAAGTGGTCTACAAAAAGCAAGAAGATGCAGATAAAAATGAACCCAGGAGTTCTTAACCTGTGGTTCATGGACTCCCTTCCAAGTGTTCCATGAATTTAAGTAGGAAACATATTTCTATTTTTATTGGCGTCTAAGCAAAATTTAGCAATTCCTTCAATTATGAGCGGAAGCAACAAACCAAAGTGTTATAATCCTAAGTAGGCACAACCAGGCAAACACTATCAAAGTCATTCAGCACCACTTTGAAACTCTACCAGTTACTGGGCCTGTCCCTAGGTCTTACTATTTGGTGCATTAATTTTAAAGAACACATAGATAATTTTATCACTAATTTGTTTCATGCTGTTAACCGTGTTTCAATATAATTGAGTTCTTTGGTAATCCTTCATGTTCTTAAAAATACTAGTATGAGGAGGGGTCCAGGGACTTCTCCGGAGGGGCAAAGAGGTTCATGATACAAATAGAGATTGAGAACTTCTGGATCTTACAGAAACGCCCCTCACCCCGATCTTGAGGCTTCAGGAAGAGACAGAGCTCGGCTCTCAGATACTAAGCCCTTTGCCTCTACCTGCGGCCCTGGCTCCTCCAGCTGCCTCTGCAAATACTCTAGGAGCACCACCGCCTGCTCCCCGGTCTCGGGGTGCTGCTCCCGCACCCGGGCCTGCAGCTCCTCGGGCAGGATGGTCAGGAACTGCTCCAGCACCAGCAGCTCCACGATCTGCTCCTTGCTGTGCGTCTCGGGCCGCAGCCACTGACGGCACAGCTCCCGGAGCCGGCTCAGCGCCTCGCGGGGCCCGTCGGCCTCGGGGTAGCGGAAGCCCCGGAAGCGCCGGCGCGAGCGCTCGGGGCCGGGGGCCGGGCTGCCGCCGGGCGCACCCGCCTCTGCCGCGGGCGCGGGCGCGTCCTCCTCCTCCACCTTCACGGTCAGGACCCCAGGCAGGAGCCGCGGCCGCTCCTCCGCAGAGTGGGCGTCCAAGGCCGCGCTGGCCTTCGACTCTCTGGCCATCCCGGGCCTCGCGCCGGCGAGCGCCCCTACTTTCCGGGCGGATCCTCGAGCGTGGAGTCGCTGCCGGCCGGCACGACGGCGGGCTGCACGGGGCACGGCTTTCCCGCGGCCCCAGGCCGGCCGCGCCGTCCTCCGCTCCCGCCCCGAGGCCCGCCGCCAGTGTCCCCGCGGCCGACCGGCACAGGCGGGCGCCCCGAGCGCAGGAGTGCCCGGAGCCCAGGCCGGGGACGCTCCGCACCGGAAGCCGGGGGCGCGCGCCCTGCCCGCGGCTCCTCTAGGACGCGCCTCTCGGTGGCGGCGCCGAGTTAACCCTTCAGCTGCCGGGCCCGCCGCGGACCGAGGCCGGCTCTGTGGAGGCAGTAAGACCTCAGCTTTAAATCCCGGGGCTCTGATGTAAGCTTGGCTAGGGAGCTGGCGTGCATCGGACACTAACGTCCAGAAGGAGGTCCGCTTCCTCGGCGAGCTGAGCGCTCTGCAGGAGGGCCTGCACAAGAAGCCGGAGCCATCACCAGGCGCCTGCTCGGGAGAGAGCAGGGGCTGCCCCAGGTCCTTGCCGGCCTCCGGCTGTCACTATCCTGCCCTTTAAGGTCAAAGGCTTGGAGGAACGCCCTCCCTATCCCCGTCTAGGCGGCTTCCATTCATCCTTCCCACGTTGAAGGCAGCAAACCGCCAGCGAAGCCATTCCGACCCCTCTAGCCGAATTAACTAGAAGTCCGCGCCCTCCCCCACCAGTTACCACTTTCCATTTTCCAGGGCCTCCTTTCAGCAGCCAGGCTTATGCGGCTCCCTACTTCGCGGAACTTTGCTGTCCCTGCTTTCGGGACCCGATTCTCTCCTGCTTGCTTGCTTTTTGTTTCTTCCCAGTTTCCATTCAGAGTCTAGCTCAGTGAGTAGATCCACGGACTGACGTCAAGATACCTGGGCTCATAATCCAGGCTTTATTTACCACTTACGAGGTGGGTGACCTCCGTTAACTACATAACCTCTTTGTGCCTGACTTTTCCAATCTGAACTGGGGGTAATAATAGTAGATAGGGATGTTGTGAGCAGTAAATGAGTTTTTTGTGTATGTAAAGTTCTTAGAATAATGGCTGACCTATAGTAAGCTAGGCCTTCACCAAAATGGAAGGAAACCCTGAGATTCCTTTGAGCCAGAGGGGACGAGATTTAAGCCAGAAGTGACAGCAGTTATTTTGCTGGACTGAGATGTCCGTAAGTCCCCTTTCTACTCAGTGGAATGCAAATTTGGTATAGAAGTTTATAAAGTGGAAAAATACCATGCTGGTACCTTCCTGAGTTTTTATTCCTCAGTCTATCCCTCTGCAGTTCAAAGGGTAGCAAGGAAGGGATAGAACTTAAGAAAATGAGAGGTCCCAAAGGCTGTTACAAATGAAAACTACTAGAAAATACTTTTCTCTTGATGAGCTGCCACAAGAGGTACAAGGCATTGCTATGAAGTATTGTTGGCAAAATAAGTGAACCTGAATCAAATTAGATTTCTAGATCCTAATAGTTGCATATCGGTGAGATTCAGAAGCAGGTTAGCGTTTTTCACACTGCATGGCACATTAGAATTATTGGGGAGCATTAAAACAGCTTGATATCTTGGTTGCAACCAAGATCAATTCAATCAGAAGGTTGAAGGATGGAACTTAGATGTGCATAACTATAAAATTTTCATGGGTAGTTGTGATATGCAGGTACGTTTGAGAATTAATGAGCTCAATGGTACTTAAAAGAAGCAATAAATAAAATTCAGAATGTGGGATATTCCATAGGACAGAAAAACCTGGATCCTCAACAAATAAATGGCATTTTTTGAAAAGGCAGCAGAGAAACGGGAACTGTTTTAGATTAAAGGAGACTGAATAGATGTATCAGCCAAATGCAAACCTTATTTGGAACCTGATCAGAGCAAAACAGCTGTAAAAAACACATTTGGGACAACTGGGAAAACTAAAACACAATGATATTAAGAAGTTACTATCAATTTAGTTGCCATAATGATATTGGGGTTATGTTAAGGAAAAAAGTCCTCATTTGATAGAAATTTATACTGAGGTACTTGTGGGTGTACTGATATAATGTCTGGATTTGCTTTAAAATAATCAGAACTAGGGGCACCTGGGTGGCTCAGTTTAGCCTCAGACTCTTGATCTCAGCTCAGGTCTTAAGCTCTGAGTTTGGGCCCCACGTTGGGCTCCACACTGGGCATGGAGCCTACCTAAAATAAATACATAAAATACTCAGAACTAGAGAAAACACACAAAGAAATGTACCACGATAGCTGTTGAAGTTGAGCGAGAGGCATAGGGGTTCATTGTAATATTCTCTTTACACTTGTACATATTTGAAGTTTTCCACAGAAATTTACCTTTTAAGTATACGAAGTCCTACTTCTTTCTTGAATAATTCAGTCCAAAAGCCTTTAAGTGGTGCCAGGACGCTGGGATCATGACCTGAGCCGAAGGCAGATGCTTAACTTTAACCGACTGAGCTACCCAGGTGCCTCACTGTAGACATATTTTAACCGCTACACTGCTTTTACCTGTTGAGGAGCAGTCACCTTGCTGCCAGAGAAGATTAAAAAATGATAGTATGGCTATATGACCTTTTAAAGATATGATCAACTTTTTTTTTTAAGATTTTATTTTTTAAGTAATCTCTACACCCAACATGGGGCTCAGACTCACAACCCCAAGACCATGAGTCCCGTGCTTGCTGACTGAGCCAGCCAAGGACCCCAATATGATCAGCTTTTAAAGCTCCCTAGAAACTAAAAGACTCACTTCTCTGCTGAGCACAGAGAAATTTAGGGGCTGGTCAAGTTCCTCACCTAATTGGTAGCAAAGTTAGGACTAGAAGCTTTGTTATTCAGAGCTTCAGTTATCCAGTGAAATTTTTACCCATTATTGTTTCTCATGAACTCATGAACAGTGCCCCTCACCTATACTATTCATCAGTCACTGTCCAGGTAACAAGGGTTACTCTCTCAGCTCAGGGAATTTAGAGTCCCATGAATAAGACTGGAATTTCAGTCATACCTGAAGAAGCAGATTCAGGAGAGTAGAAAATAGAATCTGAGAACATGGGAAAGAAGTACATTACACCAAGTGCTTATATTTCCCCCATTATATTCATTATGTTGAAAACTATAAGTAGGTATCTTTGATTTAATTCTGAGGTCTCCAAAAGTCCCTCAGATGGTATATTTCTTCTTGTTTATTGCTTACAGACATAAAAACTTAATCCTGACACACCTTAATGGTAATATTAAGATCAAATTAAGTGTCCAAGTAACAGTTGCTTTAACTGTTAGAGGCAGGTCTGACCCTTCTAGGCATCAGTATATAGAAATCTTCAGAACAATGGAGAAGAAACAATTCTCCAACCTGCACAGAAACCTTAAAAATGCCTACGTGTTAGGTATTTTGCCATCCTTTGTATTAAGGGAATCAACCATATAGATTCTTACGAAACTGTTACAACATGAACTGTACTAGTTCCAAAATTATACAGTATTTTTCCTAATTCTGTATCCTCTGTGTGAGACTATAGATAATTCAACAGAGTTTCTTTTATATGTTGCATCAGGAAAAATAGGATGCTCCTTTGTCTACACCTATCGTTTATAGAGCTGGGAGTAGGGTGAGGTGAGAGAGGCACTTAGGTCACAGAATTTAAGAGAGTGGATGTGTCCTTAGATTTGGGCCCTCAGTGCCTCTCTCACTTCACCCTACTCCTGGCTCTGTATAGACACAACATTAGAATCCATTAAGCATTTTTATATTTATCTCCTCCGACTTCCATTGGTGAGGAAGTGGCACTGCTAGGAGTCTCCCTCATGTCTCTTCACACTCTATTCCTAACTTCCACTACCAGTCTCTTTCCTAGAAACTGCACGTCTAAGCAAGAGTCTTGTTTCTACAGTGAGAGGGTCCCTGATTCATTCATTCATCCAGGCGTGTTTATTTTATTTCACCCCAGATACAAAGTGGAGTTTGGGAGAAATCACAAAAGAAATGAAAAGTGTGATTCTTGACCTTGCGATGCCTAGAAACGTATCAGGGAGAAAGTAAAAGGCAAAACCTAAAAATACAGAAAGTAACACTACAAAATGATAATGTGCAGAGAAGAGGTTGAATACAGCTTTAAAACGGCTGTAGGATCGCCCCTTCAACAGCACGGTGGTTAGGAGCGCTGGCCCAGGCGTAGTCCACCCTTCACAAAATCGTAAGAAAGAAAATACATTTACAATACTGCATGTGCATTTATTGTAAAAATAAACAAACAAATAAAAAAACCCAGACTGTGGGCAGCACTCTTCCCAGGTGGTTTTCCCCTTCCTGGAGGCTTGGGCTCAGCAGCCACCACACCGGGAAAATTTATGGAAAACAATTTTGAGAAAGATCGTAAAATATTACCTGTGAGAACAATTTCATTTTAGCTGAGCTTTCAACATCTGGTGCTTTTCTTTTTTCTTTTTTTTTTTTTAAATGTTTTTTTTTTTTATTTATTCATGAGAGTCAGAGAGAGACAGAGAGAGAGAGAGAGAGAGAGGCAGAGGCAGAGGGAGAAGCAGGCTCCCCGCCTAGCAGGGAGCCCGATGCGGGACTCGATCCCAGGACCCTGGGATCATGGCCTGAGCCGAAGGCAGACGCTTAACCATCTGAGCCACCCAGGCGCCCCCATCTGGTGCTTTTCTTAATGATTAGAATGTATTGCTATTTCAAAAACTACCTATTTTCTTTTTTTTAAGATTTATTTATTTGAGAGAGAGAGCAGCCACATGTACAAGCAAGCCTAGGGGCAGAGGGAGAGGGAGAGAGAATCCTCAAGCAGACTCCCCACTGAGCATGGAACCCAACGCAGGGCTTGATCCCAGGACCCTGAGATCCTGACCTGAGCTGAAATCAAGAGTTGGCCACCTAACCGACTGAGCCACCCAGGTGCCCCCCAAACTACCATTTTTTAAAAAAAAATCTTCAAATACATTTTTGTGCTCTATCCGAATATTTGCTCATCTATAAATAAAATTAAGAAAATAAAAGCCCTTCCCCCAAAAAAGGTATGGTAGGCATTTATTTTTATTCCTATCAGCATATTTTTTGTCCCACTGCTTTCTCTACTAAATCAGGGGTCAACAAACTACTGTCTACAGACCAAAATTGGCCCACTGCCTGTTTTTATATGGCATGAGCAAGAAATTATTTTATATTTTCATATTGTTGAGGAAAAATCAGAAGACTATGTGAAAATTGCAGAAATTCAAATTTCAGTGACTGCAGTTTTATTAGAACACATTCATGTTCATTTACATATTATCTATGGCTGTGTTTGTCCTATAATGGTAGCGCCCCAATTAAGAAAAATGTTATTCCTCAATTTTTTTATTCTTCCCGTTAGAAAACCTGTCTTACAAAAAATGTATTAATTATTACTTTCCTGTGTAATTTTTATTAAATTTCTAATCAAATACTATAATAATTTATTTCCTTTCATTAAAAGACTTAAATATTTACAACATTATCAGTTTGGGAAGACAAAGAGTAAAAATGGAGCAAAGTGATCAAAAGACAAATTCAGAGACAGAATAAATGCAGCCTATTTAAATGTCTGCCTGGCCCTGGTGGCTGCTGCCAGAGTGCTGGTTCTAAGCCTCAGAATAAGTAATAGTTCAAAATCTCCTCCAGCTTCAACATGTCCCAGGGAGAGATTTTGGTGACTTCAAAGAAGACCTGGTGACAATACTTGGAATGCACAGTCTTGAGCCTATTACAAAGAAGCAAAATCAGCAGGATGTTCAACTGCTTGCCCAAGGGGTGAAGATCAGAGGTCTTGTAGCCACTGTAATACTCCAGGGTAGGAGCCCAGTGTCTGAACTTTTTCAGTAGAGGGTCAGGAGGAAGGAGTCAGCAGCTAGCTTGGAGGCCCCCTCTACTGGATATTCAACTTAACTAAAGAGAACCAAGATGATGGTATATGCCTACATACATTTTAAGATCAAAGAAAAATGATCTTGCATGAAACGCAAATGGTCACATTTCAGAGAGTGAACAAAGTGTGTGCAGAAAGTGGTTCCCAATCACAAAATTTCTGGAGAAATTAACCAGGTTAGGAGACATCTACAAGACTGGGTTGGATGCCTCCCTGCATTTCAGGGGTAGAAAAGTCTGTGAATTTAAGAATTAAAGTCACACTTGATCTTAGCCAAAAGGCCGAGAAGCGATTAAAATCGTTAACTCTGGCCTTCACTTGGCTCAGAGGCTGAGCTTAAACTTCGATTCCAAAAGAAGTTCTGGTTCTTGCCTCCAGTAGGCACAAGTGGGGTTTGCAGTTCACTCGAAGTATTTCCTCCATGAAGATGGTGGACAGGTTCCTTTCTGAGGACCAACAAAAGGAGCGTGGGAAGTAGGAACCCTCCACCAAGGGGCAATGATAAAGAGGGCCGAGGGGAGCAAGGAGGAGCGAAGGATACCAAGACGGTTGAAGGCGACTATCCAAGCAGCGACGACGACGTTGGAGCAGCAGGGGCGGGTCACCGGTACAAACCCCTCTTCTGCGACCGCGGCTCAGGGCACAGACGCAGACCCGAGGCGCGAGCTCCGCCTCGCCCCCCCCCCGCCCCCGGCCCCAGCGCCGCCTCCAACGCCGGCGTCTCCCGTCCCCGCCCGCGCGGCGGCCTCGCCGAGCAAATCCGCCGGAAGCGGAAGTCGCGGCAGCAGCGGTGCTGACGCGCCTGAGTGGCGGGCGGTGCCGGGCCGCCGCTGCATCTGCGGGAACTGCCCGGCGTTGGTCCTTTGATCGCCGGTGAGGGCGTGCGTCATGGCCCCGGTGTCCCGGGCCCGTTATCCCGAGGACACCGCGGGCTCTCGGGGGTGGCGACGCAGCTCGTCGGGGAGCCCGCCGTCTGCGCAGGCCAGACGCTCCCCGTTGGGAGGCCGTGCCCGCTCTCACTCCCGCGGCCTTGAGGGCCTCCGGCCTCCGTGGGGAGGGTCGGGCGTTGGCGCCCCTTGCCCGCCCGGCCGCCCTCGAGAGCAGGCCCCGGCGTCCCGCAACTACGCATTCTCCTCCTCTTCCGTCTCCTGTGGCGGGTACCGCTACCATCACCACTATGTGGGCGACCGGCAGAGGAGGCTGAGAGAGAGACAAAGGATTGGGGAGTTGGGAGCTCCGGAGGTGTGGGGGCTGTCCCCAAAGTTTCCTGAGCCGGATTCTGATGAGCACACCCCCGTGGAGGAGGATGAGGTAAAGACTCAGAAGACCAGCAGTTCAGACTCCAGCTCCGAAGAAAAAAGGAAGAAGAACAGTCGTTCAAAAAGCAAGAAAAATAAAAAGTCCAAAAGGAAGCATAGGAAATATTCTGATAATAGTGATAGGAATTCAGACTCCGACACGGATTCTAGCTCTGATGATGATAAAAAGAGAGCCAAAAAAGCCAAGAAGAAGGAGAAGAAAAAGAAACACAGGGGGAAAAAAAACAAGAAAAGGAAGACTAAGAAGACTAAAAAAGAATCCAGTGACTCAAGCTTCAGAGATTCAGAAGGGGAGTTGCCGGAAGACACCCGGGTGAAGCGGTCGGAGATTGCCGGTCCCACGGATCTGATGGGTCCAGAAGCACCTGTAACATACAGCTCCCAAGATGAGAAGCCTCTGAACTATGGCCATGCTCTGCTCCCAGGGGAAGGCGCGGCGATGGCTGAGTACGTAAAAGCTGGAAAGCGAATCCCACGAAGAGGTGAAATTGGGCTGACGAGCGAAGAGATTGCTTCATTTGAATGCTCAGGTTATGTTATGAGTGGTAGCAGGCATCGCAGGATGGAGGCTGTACGGCTGCGGAAAGAGAACCAGATCTACAGCGCGGATGAGAAGAGAGCCCTTGCATCCTTTAACCAGGAAGAGAGACGGAAGAGAGAGAACAAGATTCTAGCCAGCTTCCGGGACATGGTGTACAGAAAGACGAAAGGGAAAGACGACAAGTAAGGACTTTCTGTTGTTCAGCAGGACTTTTGACAACAATTTTACATGACCAAAGTAGTGTGAAAAGACTTCATGGTGCTACTGTATCGACTATGTTAGAAAGTCCGTGGAGAAAAAGCTGCCGTTTGAGATCTCGTTACCAATTTATTTTGTTATTTTTAATTTAATATGTGCACATGGCTTAAATACTCAAATACTGCAGTCGGAGAGTTAATAAAAGGTCTTTCATCGTAGTCCCTGATTCTTCTCCCCAAAGAGATCTCTGTTTGATGTCTTTTATACACGTAAGTTCTGTGTACATACAAGCACATTGCAGGATAAAGGTTGGAGTTACTAACCTGAAGATTATCTTCCCTGTTGACCCTGACCTCTCTCTCTCTCGAGGAGCTTCATGGAGCCCTTCACATGCCCCCAGGAGGACCAGAAGAATCCCAGAAGGAACAAAGGATTCAAATGAGTGTATACTTCTGGTTGCAGTTAACAGATTGAGTTAAAAAATAAAGGAAGTTTATTGGTTCGTGGAACTGAAAAGCCCTGCAGGAAAATGGGTTTCCCGCATGGCTTTATGGGACCTTCACTTTTTTCTTCTCCATGGGTCATTTTCCTCCGTAGCCTGGTTTCCAAAAGGGTTGCCAAAGGTCCTGAGTTTGGTTATATACTTCCTGGTCCACCTCTGAGGAGCAAAAACATTTCTGTCTTGGCATTCCAAACAAGAATCCCGAGATTGACCCAAATTGGATTAGCTTAGGTCACATGCCCGCTCTCAAAAAAGGTACTGTTGTCGCGAGATAGGCCTCCTCCTGGAGCTGTGAGTATAGTCAATTTATAGGCTACATGGGGAGGAAGTGGATACCTGAATGTCAGGGTAATGCTGGGAAGGTGTATAGGCAACCGACAAATGCCCACTATAGTTTTGAAGGATTTCTAAAAAACACAGTTCGTGTGCTGAAAGCCAAAATTTTCCTGAAGCTTGCTTTTGACTATCGGGGAATACCTGGCTGAAGGGGACATAGGGTTGATCCATAAAAATAGATCTAAAAAGTAAAGACGAAGGTCCATTGTGCTTGGGTCTTCCAAAGAGTAGACCAGGTGCCACCTTAGACTAAGAAGAGACAGAAAAAAATGAGAAGGTATAAAGAATGGAGTTGGTGGAGTTCCCGAAAAGGTCAGATCAGGAGGGACCCCATGGACAACAAAGTTAAGCATTGAAAGCCCGGCTCCAGCTCCGGCGTTAGGGCTTTAGAGTGACCTCCGTTCATGGTCCGTGACAAAGGCTTCATTGTCATCCAGTGACATCTGCCTGAATCCTAAGACTTCATTTCATCGCTAAGCAAACTATCTCATTTGAAAAAGGGAGCCCCTTTTCAAGGCTCAAGACCCTACGGAGCCCCACAGAGCTGAGGGTGAAGGGGTGGGGTTCTAGAATCTCACAGGGCAGTATGAGGTGGAAGGGCACCTTCATCCTAGTAGATGACTTGATTGGCACTGGACCACACTACCTTGAGAATTTCCCCAGAGTATTGGGGAGCACTGGTAAAAGCCAATATTACATATGTATATTTCTATCTTTAGAAACAAACCATACCACATTTCACCCATGAACTTACACCTTGCCTTTTTCACTTAGTACGTCTTGGAGATGTTTTAATCGATGCATATAAATCTTATTCTTTTTAACGACTTTATAATGTTCTACTGAATGAAAGGACCATATTTTATTGGATGTTTAAGATGTTTCCTATATTTTGCAATTACACAGTACTGAAGTGAAAATCTTTGTGGATATGTGAGAATATTATCTGTAGCATTGTCATCTAGAAATAGAATTATTGGGTCAAAAAGAATTCTTTGGATCATCTAAAAATGGCCACCTATAAGTGGAATTCTTGGATTAAGTGGAAAATATTTATTAGGTGCTTTTTATATGCTAGGCACTATGGCAGGTACTGGGTATAAACCAGAGAGCAGGTTAAGTTTGATCCTTGCCATCACACAGAATTTTACATTCTACTGGAGGAGATAGACCTTTAAAAAACTACCAGACAAGTACGTATTAACTGCGGCATGCTATGAAGAAAATAAGGGACTAGAGACAATAATAGGGGGAGGTTTTTGATAGGGTGGTCAGGAAAAATCTAAGAATGTCACATGTTCTATGTGCTTTTACATTTTAATAGATTTTGCAACATTGCTTTCTAAATAAGCAGTACCAGTTTACACACTGGTACGGCTTTGTAAATAAGATGTACCAGTTTACACACCTACATCACCAACAACATTGTACTTCTAAACCTTTTGATCTTTGCCAATCTAATAGGTGAAAAATGGCATTTCATTTTTTCTTTCTTTTTTTTTTTTTTTAGAGAGAGCATGAGCGGGTCTGGGGGAGGGGTAGAGGGAGAGGGAGAGACAGTCTTAAGCAGACTCCCGGCTGGGTGCAGGGCCCAACACGGGGCTCAATCTCACAACCCTGAGATCAGGACCTGAGCTGAAATCAAGAGTCAGATGCTTAACCAACTGAGCCAACCAGGCGCCCCTAGGATATTTCTTTGTTTATTCATATGATGGTTTAAAGTTATAGATTTCCTCATATAAAACTATGAGTTAAGTTTATTGGACTCATTTGTAGGTTTTTTATTGTTTAGAAAAATCACTGGTCACATAATTTTCTATTTAAAATTCAGAATAATGAATAATATTTTGCTGAATGTGTGGAAGCAGAGAGAAAAGCAGAAAGCATCATTACAAAAAGATAAGAACGGCTATCTTATGCTATAGCATGGTAGCATGACTTGTAATGCAGTAGTGCCTCTACAGATCCTATAGAAAAAGCAGCTTTCATTTTGAATATCTTAAGAATGGACCTGATGAAAACATACGGCCCACCATTTTGTTTACAAAAATAAAGATAATCCTGTAAAATGATAATCTCAAATTTGAAAATTGATTTTTAAAAATTAGCAACATGTAGTCTGTCCTGTAAGATAGCATCTTTATTCTTACCTACCTCTACCCCTTCCAAAAGTACAGACTACTTAAAAATGCAGATCTTGAATTTTTTTTAACTCTGTGTGTTAAACTACATTTTGACGTTTCTTTTCTTTTTTTTTTTTTTTTAAGATTTTATTTATTTGACAGAGAGAGAGACAGTGAGAGAGGGAACACAAGCAGGGGGAGTGGGAGAGGGAGAAGCAGGCTCTCCGTCGAGCAGGGAGCCCGATGCAGGGCTTGATCCCAGGACCCTGGGATCATGACCTGAGCAGAAGGCAGAAGCTTAATGACTGAGCTACCAAGGTGCCCCTACATTTTGAATTTCATGGGTTATTCAATACAATGCCAATAATCTAAGCCTTGATACTATGAGTGACGTTTAAGAAGCCAGCCATGGTAGGGAGTTTGAAAGGGGCAGTCAATTAAGATATATTTACTTCCTTTTTAAATTAAATTTTATGTTTATCTCTTACATAATTTTTGAAAAATATATAAGCCCTTCTTTTGAAAGAAAGAAAATCAGACATATGAGTTTTCTATCAAAAAAATGTTAACTTCTAATTAGTAAAGTATTTGCATTGACTGCATTTGTTTGCCTAAGGAAGTTTTAGGGTGAATATATTTAATCGCTATTTCTAAAAGATACTTCCAAGCTTCTGGTACCCAAGGAGGAAATGTTAACTCTCCTTGTTGTTGTAATGAAACGTGTTTTTTTCTTTTGCTGTGATAATTTCAATGCTGAAAACACTGAATAAATTACCTGTCATAAAACAATGATTAGTATATTTAATGATATTTCAAAACTATCAACTAATTAAGCAAGTTGTTCAGATTTTTAAAAGGATTTATTTTATTCAAAGACTATAAAAAAGTTTTTGGTAAGGTGAATAAGAAGGAATATTTCTCTTTTCTTCTGTAGAATTATTTTGGTAAAGTGATATGTTTTTTTCCCCTTGAAACCTACATTCTCTGCAAAGTATTGCTGATTATACTTTTATAGTAATCTACTTAATTTTTCATTACCTTAAGTATTTTTTTTAAGATTTTATTTATTTATTCATGAGAGACAGAGGAGGAGGAAAGAGAGAGAGAGAGAGAAGCAGAGGGAGAAGCAGGCTCCCGGGGAGCCCGATGCGGGTCTCGATCCCACGACTCTGGGATCATGACCTGAGCCGAAGGCAGACGCTTAACCATCTGAGCCACCCAGGCGCCCTACCTTAAGTATTTCAATACAAATATATTTTCATTGTTCAATTTAATCTTCAATTCTTTGATACTACAAAAAAAAAAAAAAAAAACCACACAAAACGCCAAAACGCTGACATTTATTTTTGCTGCTGTGTTTGACGACTTTTTAAATTGGGGAGAAATGGAAAGGTACGCGTCTGTGTTTAATTTGTGAGTGAGCAAAGTAGAGATGCTGGTTCTTCACGCTAACAGTAAACCGAGCTGGCCCGTTCTCACTCTAATAAAACCAAGTTCGGCGTGCAGACGAGGACCGCCCGCGCTCGCACCTGCACGCCGCCGGTGGGCGGAGCTCCGCCCCCAGCCGCGCGCCGGAAGCCGGACACCATCGAGCCGCGGTCCTCCCGCGTGCCTAGAGCGGAGGCGACGGTGCGCGGGGAGGCGGGCGTTTGGGGCTGGGCGAGGGTCGCGGACCGTGCTGGAGCGCGCCTGGCCACCGCTGAGGGTCGGAGCTGGGTGCGTGGTGTGTGCGCTCCGCCTGGGAAGGCCCTGCAGACCCGGGCTGGGGAGCAGCTGGTGCCCTAGGTGCTGCGACAGAGGGCCCGCAGGCCGGGGCTGGGGCCGGGGGCGTCCTGAAGCTGCCGATCTGCTGACCTGGGCCCAACTTAGGCTGCACTTGTTCATCCATTGAGCGCAATTTTAAACACGTGTTGGAAGGTAAGCCTTAGAAGGCAGTGCTTGAGCAGAAACCTGAAGAACCTGGAAAGACCTGTGTGGCCTTTGGGGGTACGCGCTTTCAGAGGGAACAGCAAGTGCAAAGGCCTCCGAGGTGCTTGGCATTCTCGAGGAATAGCAAGGAGACCGGGAATGTAGACCCGACCGTCAGGAGCGGGGGGCGGGGTTTGTAGAGGACCGTATTGAGAGGTTGGGGAGCGGGAGGAGGTGTGTAGAAGTGGGCGTTTTATTGTGGAAGTAATTTGGTCGTTTCTTGGTGTGAAGAATTTTTGGAGGATTTTAAGCAGAGGGAAAACATGATCCGATTCATGTTTTAAAGCATCTGTAGCTGGGAACTCACGAGGAGATAAGACCGTAAGGCCGCAAGAATGGAATCAGGGAAACTATTGCAAGTAATTCAGGTAGGAGATGAGGCTATCTTGAACTTGTATTATTGTAGAAGTGGTTAGTCCTGGTCGGATTAGTGATCTACGTGGAAGGCGGAGCCAGCAGGCTTTGCTGTTGGATCACATGTGGATTATGAGAGAGAGAAGGCAAAGTTAAGTCCAAGGGTTTAAGAGCTCTTGGAGGAAAGATCTGAGGTTGAGCTTTGGGGTCTTGTGTAAGTTATTAAACTCTCCACGTCTCAGTATCCTTCTCTGTGCAGTGAAGTTGGCAACTGTGTCTTGATACAGTTGTGTGAAGATTAAATGCATTGACACTCAAAGTACATAAAACAGTTGTGTTGGCTTATTGTTTTATTCTGAGACATGAAGGGTATATGGGCACTAAGGAGAAAAAAAACTGGGGAGTTGAGTGTTCGATGTGGAAGGACCCAGGAACAGGAAAGAGTATCATAAATTTGAGGACCTGAAAGTTCATTAGATCATAAAAAATTTTAAGCCATATTAGATGTCTTTAACTTGATGCTAAGGGAAGTGATGAGTCACTAAATGCAGTAAATGCACAGCAGAGATACAATGCTATCTTCTCTTTAGAAATATCACTGTTTGCAGTGTGGGAAATAGATTGGTGAGTCAGAAGACCAGTCACAGTAGTCTGGGTAGGAGGAGATGGTGGCAAGGGGGATGAAGAAGGGAGGATAGACTTGAGAGCTATTTAGGCAGAATCAATAGATCTTGATTGATCTGATGCACAAGATGTGAAAGTAGGCTGGAAGGGTCCGTTTATCATATTATTTATTATATATTGTGTTTGATGCATTTAGTCATGTCATAGAAATGACCACCACTAATTCAGCAACCTATGCTATGTATCTGTATTAGAGTTCTCCAGAGAAGCAGAACCAATAGGAAATACATAGACATAGACACACAGAGACAGATTAATTATGAGGACTTGGTTCATGGAATTACAGAGACTGGCAAGTCCCCAAGATCTGCAGGGTGAGTCAGTGAGCTGGAGACCCAGGAGAGCCGATGGTTTAGTTCCATTCTGAGTCCAAAGGCCTGAGAACCAGGGGATCCGATGGTGCAGTGACAGTAAGAAGAGGAAGGCCAGCAGTCTTGAGATCCAGGAAGAGCCTGTGTTTCCATTTGAGTCTGAAGGCAGGAAAAAAGCTGATGTCTCCGTGTGAAGGCAGTCAAGCAGGGAGAATTCTCTTACTTGGGGGAGAGTCAGCCTTTTTGTTCTATTGAGACCTTCAACTGATTGGACGAAGCCCACCTACATTATAGAGGGTGTCTGTTTTACTCAGTGCACTGATGTAAATGTTACTCTCATCCCAAAACACCCTCACAGAAACCCCCAGAATAATGTTTGACCAAATATCTAGGCACCTTATAATCAAGTTTTCACATAAAATTAACCGTTGCAATACCAAACTTTTATTTCTGGCTAATAACCATCACTTTCTTTGACTTTTTCATTTCTGTTAAGAACAGTAGGATTTGACTTTTTAAATTTTAAGTCCATTTTTTACCTATATATGTATGTGTGTGTGTGTGTGTGTATCTATATTCAGCTCAGGTCATGATCCCAGGGCCCTGGAATATATATGTGTATATATATCAGGTGGGAGTTACCATCTCCACATCCGGGACTATATAACAGCAAAGCTGTATTTGGAGCCCAGCCAGGTTTTATAGTGTTTTTAAAACCAAGAGCCAATTTTCACAGTTCATTTAGGTGTCTGTTTAATCCAGAACAATACCTCTTTTTATTTTTGTGAAATTGACTGTTGTAGATGAGCTGCATTCAGGATTTATCGGAAAGTCTCCTCATTATTAGATTCATATGAAACATTTAGTAAAAATGCTGCATAAGTGATAAGGCACAAGCTCAGTTGTCTGACTGTTGGTGTTGCTGGGCTTGATCATTTAAGTTTGTGGCTGCCAGATGTCTCCATTGTTTTTTTGTAATTAATAAGCAGTCAGTATGGTGGTTCTTGGAGACTGTGAGAATGTCCTTTCTCCCCACTCCTTTTGCCCAGTGACTTTACCCATTTGTGGTCTTTGATTCAGTTACTTATTTCACCAAGCTGCAAAATGGTGATCTTTTCAGATTTGTTATTCCTGCTCTGTCAGCTGGCAGTCTTGTGTAGAACAGAGTTTTCTCCTTTTGTATGTACTGTTTTTAGGAATGGTTGTTGCGGAGAGAAAGAAATTGATAGTAATTATTGGAATTGTATGAAGCCAACAAAGGTGTATTGCTGTGGTTACTGTTACTACTACTGCTACTGTTTCTGTGATTCTTTTTTTGGGGGGGGTAAAGATTTATTTATTTATTTGAGATTGGGGGGAGGGGAGGGGCACTGAGCAGGGCACCCGATATGGGGCTCCATCCCAGGACCCTGGGATCGTGACCTGAGCCGACGGCAGACGCTTAACCAACTGAGCCACCTGTTTCTGTGATTCTTGTTTTTACTTTTTCAGGAGGAGACCGTGAAAAGGAAGTTCTCCAGGGCAGAGAGCACAAGCCGGCTGATGCTGGGGATGGCGACAGCACTGGCTAATGCCCATTCCCCAGCTCCTCTGAATCTGAAGAAGGAGGGGCTTCAGACAGTGAAGGAGGATCCCTGCTCTACTTGGGAACAGGGATTCAAGCTGCCAGGAAACAGCACCGGCCTTGGACAAGAACCGCTGTGCAAACAGTTCAGGCAGTTGCGATATGAAGAGACCACAGGACCCCGCGAGGCGCTGAGCCGGCTCCGGGAGCTGTGCCGTCAGTGGCTGCGGCCCGAGACGCACAGCAAGGAGCAGATCCTGGAGCTGCTGGTGCTGGAGCAGTTCCTGACCATCCTGCCCGAGGAGCTGCAGGCCCGGGTGCGGGAGCAGCACCCCGAGAGTGGGGACGAGGTGGTGGTTGTGCTGGAGGATTTGCAGCCAGAGCTTGGAGAAGCAGGACAACATGTGGTAAGGAGCAGATTCGTTTTCTGTAGAAAAGTGGGAGCTGAGACCTGGGCCGGCGAGGTGGGCATGAGCTCAGTAACAGGAGAACTGCTAAGCTTTGGTTCGGTTTCTTTCCAGTCTGGCTGCTCGTAGCTGTAGGTCAGCCTCCCCTGCTGTCTGCTGGGATGAACTGAACGTACTGATTCCCTAGCCGCTTTTCTCCGACCCCCGGTTTCTCTTGACTCCTTTCTCACGTAGAAGTGTTTCCTGAACAGTTTCCTCCTAAGCCCACATGTCCCTAACTGCCCCTACATAACCGTCCCTAGGGCCCAGACCAGGCAAAGAAGCAGAAGATGCTCGCAGAGGAGGCAGCCCCTGTGGAAGCAGCGCGGGAGCCGCAGGTCCAGCCTGAGCGTGACGTCCCAAAGCCTGAAGAAGAGAAGGGTAAGAAACAGCTGTGTCTTCTCATGTGTGACAGCTGGGCTTTGGTGTCCCCTCCGGCGGCCCAGCTTTTGTGTTTGTTTTGAGTCAGGTTTATTGAGGTGTAATCTACACATGGTAGAAATCACTCTGTAAGTGTCCGGGTCAGTGAGTTTTCACAAATGTGACCAAACTCTGTCATCTAATCACCACCACAATCTAGATCTGGAAGATTACCATCACCCCAAACATTTCCCCCCATCCTTTCCTTGGTGTTTCTGTTCAGCAGAAACCAAAGGCCCTTCCTGTGTCACGCTTCATCTCCTCCTTCTTCCAGTTACCATGGGGGTGAGCAAACAAGCTTCGCTAGTTTCTCACCCGAGGCAAAGAACCTCAGCCACATGGGCCAGTGCCCATTTTCTCTTGTCTCCTTCAAGTTATTGTAGTATTATTACTGTCTTTTGTTTCTAAATGTTACCTAAATTCCTTTTTTATTATACTGTATTTTCTTTGTCACTGAAATTCCTCTTTCTTTCTGTCCCTTACATTTTTTTTTAAAGATTTTATTTGTTTATTTGAGAGAGAGCACGCGAGAGCATGAGCAGGGTGAGGAGCAGGGGGAGAAGCAGGCTTCCGATGGAGCAGGGAGCCCGATGCGGGGCTCGATTACCCTGGGATCATGACCTGAGCCGAAGGCAGACGCTTAACGACTGAGCCCCCCAGGCGCCCCATGATGGGCTTATATTTTAAATATGACAAGTAAATGTATTCATAGTAGATCCTTGACACTGTCTCTTGCCTTCCTGGTCTGTTGAAAATGCCGTTTTACACTCAAAGTTCAGGTCGTTTTCCAGTTTCAGAGCCGCCCCCGCTTTTTAGTTGTTTATGTCATTAGATCATTGCTGGAAAAGGATCTCTCTTCCTTTAAGCCCTCCCTCCCCTGTGCGTGGCCGCAGGAAGATGTGCACAAGGTGCCTCGCACAGGATTCGCTGTCTCTGGCTTCTCCTTGCGAGTCGTCCACTGTTGCCTTTGGCTCTCGTGTGCTCTCCCTTTGCAGTTGATCTGCTGCCTTTATGCGGCTCACACTCATGAACTTGTGCTAGCTTGTTATTGGTGCTGCTGAGGACCTCTCTCCTGCTTTCTGTCTCATTCCAACTTTGCGTTTTCATTCAGGTTCCTGGCCTTGGAAGGCCCATTCTACTGGCCCACCTGTCCCTGTATGTCTGAGCTTAGGTTTTATTCATCAGACATTGCTTACGCTTTTTCACGTACCAGACATACGAGCAAATTATTACAGCATCAAGATACTCGGTATCTGTTGAGCCACACAGGAAAGCAGCTGCTGCTGTCCAAGGAGATCGGGAAAGTTCAAGACATTTTTGTGAACTTCATGTTACCCTTGAGGGTAAAACCCAGTGGTTTTGATCTGTTGGTGAGGACAGTGAACCCAGAGGGTTTTGATTACATAGCCAATCAGTGATAAAATGGGCTCTGTGTCTGCATTTCTTCATTTCCAGTACTTTCTCTTTCTTATTGGCCCCAGGGCCCTCAGTTGACCACGCTTTTTCATACTCCAGCTGACAAACCATTTTCAAGAATGTACAGCCATGCCCTTTGAGACTGTTTGCGTGCTTGCTAACTTTGTGTGCTCTGTGTATGTCACGTGATCAAGTTCAAACCATTTTTTTTTTAAGATTTTTTATTTATTTTTGACAGAGTGTGTACAAGCAGGGGAAGAAGCAGGGAAAGGGAGAGGGAGAAGCAGGTTCCCCGCTGAGCAGGGAGCCTGATGGGGGCTCAATCCCAGGACCCTGGGATCATGACCCGAGCTGAAGGCAGACGTTTAACCATCTGAGCCACCCAGGCGCCCCAAGTTCAAACCATTTAAGATCAGCTGCCTCCTACCACAGTCCCCATCCTCCCCCGAGCAGCCGCTGTTAACAATTTCTTGTGTACCGTTGCGTGTATATTCTGTGCAGATGCAAGCATCCACAGCATTTCCACTTGGCACACATGGCTTGATTTAAATTTATTCCTCCTAATTGCAGATTCCCTTCCCTAAGCATTAAAAAACAAGTAATTGGTAGTATATATTTAATGTTTCAGGTGAGGAGACAAAGACTGAGAATAGGAAGACGGTGGTAGAGCCAGATTCTTGTGGAGGAGTGGAATCATCTGGGAAAATATCTGAACCCATAGAACCTCGTCATGAGGACCCTAACTTGGAAGGGCAGCAGGTCAAGCCCAAGGAGAAGACTGAATATAAATGCTCAGACTGTGGGGAGGGATTCACCCAGCGCTCAGAGCTGATTAGACACGAAGGGACACACACACAAGGGAGGCTCTGTGAATCTGAGGCTTGTCCGAGTCCTCGTCCTACTGCACATCAGAAAATCCACTCTAGAGAGAAAGGTCATCAGTGTCACGAGTGTGGGAAAGCCTTTCAGAGAAGTTCTCACCTCGTCAGGCACCAGAAAATCCATCTTGGAGAGAAGCCTTATCAGTGCAAAGAGTGTGGAAAGGTCTTTAGCCAGAATGCAGGCCTTCTGGAACACCTTAGAATCCATACTGGAGAGAAACCTTACCTGTGCATCCACTGTGGGAAGAACTTCAGGCGCAGCTCCCACCTCAACCGACACCAGAGAATTCACAGTCAGGAGGAGCCCTGTGAGTGCAAGGAGTGTGGGAAGACCTTCAGTCAGGCCCTTTTCCTCACCCACCACCAGAGAATCCACAGCCACTCCAGAAGCCATCGCTGTAACGAGTGCGGGAAAGCCTTCAGTTTGACCTCGGACCTCATTCGCCATCACAGGATTCACACTGGAGAAAAGCCTTTTAAGTGTGCCATATGCCAGAAAGCCTTCCGACTGAACTCCCACCTGGCTCAGCACGTGAGAATCCACAACGAAGAAAAACCCTATGAGTGTAATGAATGCGGCGAAGCCTTCAGGCAGAGGTCGGGTCTTTTTCAGCATCAGAGATACCACCACAAACACAGTCTGGCTTGATGGGGCATCCTCTCTGCAAGGAACACGACGGACAGTATGTTGACAAGCAAACAGCACTTTAGGAAGAGTCACTCCAGCCAATTCTAGCCTCAGAGAACTCCAGGGGGCCAAGTGGGAGGCTCTGTCCCTTCACTTGTGCTCAGCCTTGGACCACAGTGATTTGATCCTCGATGGGACTGTGGGAAAAAAGCAAAGCCGCATTCTTCACTGCAGAACTTCTCTGAGCCTTTAACATGGTAAATGCATGATTGCACGCCTCCAAGTAGTAGAGAGCCTCATGATTGAGCGAGGGCTTTGAAGTCACCAGTGAGTCAGTCAAGTATCCACAGATTTATAGTCTTGACCAGAACAAGAGCAGGTCAGTATTTTTGCATCTGCTACAGCAGCAGCTATAAAATAAAACTAAAGATGTTTGGAAATACACCACTCTTAAAGTGCAGGTTAATGGTGGGCATTTTCCCCCACTGGTTTTACTAACCACCCCCTACTGGCATCCGCCACTTTCCCCACGCCCAGTCAGCAGAAGCATTTTGGAAAGCAAAGAAAATTTAATTTGACCACTTCCCACCCCATTCTTGCCACAATACTTCACTGATTCAAGCTGGAAATCAAGGTTTTACTTAAAGTATGGAAGACATTTCCTAAGTCATTTGAATGAATTCAGGTAGCAGCTGTCTTACTTGATACCTCCGGTGCGAGGGTAGTTGGCTCCTGCATAGGCACTGTTTAGTAAGTGGGGAAAGAAATTGGACTTTTTCCTTTTAATACTGATAATGCAATTTTATTTTATTTTTTATTTATTTTTTAAAGATTTTATTTATTTGAGAGAGAGCATGAGCGGGGGGAGGGCGGAGGGAGAGAAGCAGACTCTCTGCTGAGCACGGAGCCCGACACAGGGCTCGATCCCGGGACCCTGAGATCATGACCTGATCCAGAATCAAGAGTCAGATGCTTAACCGACTGAGCCACCTAGATACCCTGATAATATAATTTTAAAATGTTGCTTGTTCTGGAATTCTTTGGAAGTCAAGCAATAAAGTCAGCTGGGAGGAGATCATGATTTTATACTGTGAATACCAAAATGTTATGGTAATGGTGAAGAGTATTGAGCTTAGGGGAGTCCACTCCTGAACCATCATTGCTTGCTGATTGTCAGTAGCTGCATAGGGTATTGTGTCTGGAAAAAGTGTCTCAGTCTGCCGTGAGAATGAACCCTCGTGCATTGTTGAGGGTTTGGTGCATCTGCACATAGTTTAGAGACAAACGAGGAGTGACTCCACAAAAGCTTGTTTTTCTCTCAGGTGGAAAAATCTGGAGACAAGCAGTCCAGGACTGATACAGTGTTTCCTTGACACCACTAGGGATCCTGCTTCTGCTCCAACATCCTAGTGCACACCATCAGTCCTGAGGTTGTCACATGATCCTTGGTGGCTGCTTAAGCTCCAGCCATCACATGCAAAATGCAGACAGAGGCAGAAGGACAAAGATGCCTCCCAGCTCAGCCAGCCCTCTGTGAGCAGCCTCCCAGAAGTCACTTCCACACATACTCTACAGGCCAAAACTTGGGAAAGGGAGTTGGGAGAGTGTGTCTTATTCTGGTTTGCGGAGTGCCCAGCCAAAAACTAAGCTGCTGTCACTAGGAAGAAAGGGGAGCATGAAGGCTGGAACAGGCACTTTGCAGTCTTTGACCCACTTCCCACCTGCTGCGTGTGGTGTGACCAGGTGCCACCGTTAATACCATTTCCTGGAGGAGGACCAAATCTGTGGGAGAAGCAGTGCAACTTTTTGTGGCTCTAAAGAATTTCATGGAAACAGTCATGTTCCATTCCTTAGGAAGTCGTAAAGCTATCTGTCTTTCAATCTGCCGATGAATAAAATTAAGTTGATATCAGGAATTTTCTCCCAAGTGTTTTGACGGCTGTGCTGAGGTCAGTACCTAAGCATTCAGCTCTGTGTCATAGTTTAAATCTGTTCGATTCTGTTCTATTTTGGAAGGAAAGAACAGAATGTCTGTTTGCTTCTCTGTTAAGAAGGAAAAAACAATTCTCATGAAAAAGCAATGACAACAAGAGTTACAGTATGAAGAGTGATATAGCCTTAAATATTTGGAAAATTTAGCTTTCTTTGTGGTGATTCTGTAGTACACACATTATAAAGTTTTCTAAGTTTGTTGATACCTTAACCAACCTAATCCCTCACACAGTCCCAAAGGAAATGGTGTTCTCATCAGTACCCTGGGGGCATACCCATAATGACTTGGACATAAATGTTGGATACAGGTATGTTTTATTTATTTTTTAAATTTTTTTGAAAGAGCATGGGGGCGGGGAGGGGAAGTGGGAGTGGGGGCAAAACAGTCTCAAGCAGGTCCCACGCCCAGGACCCTGAGATCATGACCTGAGCTGAAATCAAGAGCCAGGTGCCCCTGGAAACAGGTATATTTTAATAACATGCTTTTCTTTTCTAGAAGAATATAGAAACATTGAACAAACGGCAAAATGTTATAACAGATCTTGATGAAGGTTTTGCTTGCAGTGCAACACATGATAGAGGCTCTAGAAGGAAAGCTCAAAGTCTATTCAGAGGGCAGCAACCCAGAAAGGATGAGCTCTATTGCAAAGTATCTTCTCCTGATCAGCTTTTCTGTTGGGATAGTATCCTATAATGTTCAAAAAAGAGTGGTCCTTGTGTGTCTTCATTTCCTCTTCACTCTCCTGTTTAAAAAACTGATAAAGCTATAAATAAGTGTGCCATTATAAATGTAGTATGGAAAAACAAGAAAGGGAAAAATAAAGCACCCTAATTTTCACCTGTCAAAAATAATCACTGTTTAATGTGCATATATACACACACATACTCGAATTGTGATTTGTTGTTACTAATAATTTCTGCTTAATTTTTAATACCACCTGTCCATGTTTATCTTCATAAATTCTTAATAAATTAACTTGTTTATTATGATAGAAATTCATATATTTTGTAAAAACCTTTGAAAATGTAAAGAAAGCAAATCATCCTGCTCCATGGGCCAGATACAATCCCTTAATAAAGTATTTTGAGATACTGGTCTTTTTGTACGCATAGAAACACTTTACTTTTCTACTGGATTTCATATTGTGAACAGTTTTGATTTGTAAGAGAAAAGGACAGTCCATTTGCCTATCTGCCCCGTCCATTCTAGACCAGTTCTGCCATGATCCTGGGTGGGCAGCTTGCCACGTGACCCTTCTAAGACCACTGAGGATTGGATTGGGTGGGGGACCCCTAAGTCAGGCTTGGTCATTTGGATACCCCCAGAAGTTTGATATTGGGTCACAGATTCTCGTTGGTCTCTGTTAGACACTTGAACAAGAAACGAATCTAGAGCTGGAACCATTTTTGTGGTCACATAAAAACCAAATAGAAACAAACCAGCCTAGGGAGAAGTAAAAGAATGAAAGCAAGTCCTGAAGCTGGGACCCTATGAAGGCTCAGAGAAACTCAGGATAAACGACTCTGGCCCTCAGCTCCTGAGGTCCGCCACACTCCCAACTGGTCCTGGGAGTCCAGGGAATACCCTTGTTTCCTTCTGTCAAAGGTTTCTTTTAAGCCAGTTTGATTGGGTATCTGAACCTTGCTAACAAATAAACCCAGAAATCCCTGATTAAGACACCCGGATAACTAAAAGTCTTCATGGAAGATCATTTATTTTTATTTAAAAAAATTTTTTTAGAGATTTTATTTGAGAGAGTGAGCAAGAGTACAAGCAGGGGGAGAGGGAAAAGCAGACTCCCTGCTAAGCAGGGAGCTGATGCAGGACTTGAACCCAGGACCCTGATATGACCTGAGCCTGAGCCAGCTGCTTAACCAACTGAGCCACCCAAGCATCCCAGAGATAATTTTAATATAGGTTGCGCAATATTCTACAGTATATGTTCCCATTGTTAGTCGTTTAGTTTATAGTTTGTCACCACAAACATTTCAGTAAACATCCTTGGACATAACTTTGCTCCCTTTATAGAATTCTTTTCCTTCATTCAATTCCTGAAACTAGGATGTAAATGAGACAAAGGGGTAGGCACAATTTTTTGTTGTTGTCTAAGGTTTATTGGAGATATTACAGCACAGCAGAAAGATTCAAACGGCTCCACGTGGTGTTTTGAAATTCATCCCAACTGTAGGCTGGGTGACCTGCAGGTTGGACAGACTGCCAAAGTCAACATTTCCTTAATGTCAGGGTCTATCTACTTCAATGATCTCCTGATCCAGGGCTGAGACCTCGGGCCCGTAATTACCCCTTTCTCTGTCCTGCAGCTTGATGGAGATGCCTCGCACCGGGCCCCTCCGAATCCGCTTCATCAGGTGTGTGACATAGCCTGCGGTCTGGTTGCGGAGCTTCTTGCTGGGGATGATGGCGATCTCCTCGCACACGCGCTTGTTGGTGTGGAAGTCGTTGCCCAGGCGCGCCTAGTACCTTTCAATGATGACCCGGGCCGCCGCCTTCACGGTTTTGGTGCGGACACGGCCCATGTCGGCGGGTATAGTAAAAAAGCAGTAGGCACATTTTCTAAGGCTTTTGATTCATTTGCCAGATTGCCCTCCATAAAGGTTATGCTAATCTGTGCCTTCTGTTAGCAGTCTGTGAAAATACCCATTTTTACATACCTACATCAAACCTGGGAATTACTCTTTTGCACATCTGATAATCTGGTGCATACGAAATGAATCTTTTTAAAGGGGTTTTAAAAGAATACTTTTGCTGCCAAAGTTGAACATCTACTTGCATGTGAATTGGTCATTTATAATTCTGGTTTTGTGAACAGCCATCCTCACATTTTTCTGGATTTTTCTATTAGATTCTTTTAAACAGCAGTGCTCTTAAAAATTAATAGGGGAGCTGTATATAAAATTTTAGATGCACATGCTCTTTGACAGATCAATTCTAATGTGTAGTATTTAAGCTGGAATTATAAAAATGTGAAGATACTGTTCTCTGCAGCATTACTTACTGTGCATACATACACACGTACTATAAAACAGTAGGCATAGTTAGGTAAATTGGCGTGCATCCATACAATGGAAACTATTAGGCTGTTAAAAAATTAGCTGATATGGAAAGATCTCCAAACTATCCTAACAGAAAAGGCTGAGGTGCAAATTCATGTTGTGATCCCGTGAGTTTAAAAATATATAGCTACATACTCACTAAACAAATGTTTATTGTGTGCTACTCTGTGGCTGGTACTGTCCTGGGGAAACACACAAAATATTAACAATGGTTAACTTTGGGGATGGGGTACTTTTCATTTTATAGTTTCTAAGCAACTTGATTTTTATTGGGCATATATAATCTACATATTTAAATTTTAAGAACTTGTGCTGTATTGTAATTGTTCATTTATGTGACCCGCAACCTGAGAGGATACTAAAAGCAGAGTCTCGGCTTTGCCTTTGCTGTCTTGTCGTTAACTGAAACAATTTACAGAGGTGAGGGTCCCGCTCGGGTCTTCGGGACGCGCCTGCGCGGTACGGCGGCAGGGGTCCTCCCGGCGCACTAGAGAGGAGTGCGGCCTCGATCCTAGAGAGGCCGGGACCGCGTTCCTAGAAAAGCCGCTACTCGGTTGCCCGAGCGGCGGAAGCCGCTTTGGAGATTCAGGCGCACCGCCGCCCGGGACCTGTGGCGAGCCCGCAGCGTCTTTGCTGAGCACGTTCCTTGAGCTTTTGGTCCGCTGACCAGCCGTCGGACGCGCGCGTATCGCGCGCCCGCTTGGTGCCTCCGGGGTGCTCCGTGCGCCGCAGGTGCCCTCCGGGCCGCCCGGAGAGCAGGTGAGGGCCGGGCTCGCTGGGGCTGCGTGGACCGGGCCTCTGATCTCGGGGGACGGGAGCCGGGCTCGCTGGGGCTGCGTGGACCGGGCCTCTGACCTGGGCGGGGCGTGGGGGCGGCGGGAGCCGCAGAGGGACTGGACGGGCGCGGTGGGTCGGGCTGGCTCTCCCGCGAACGGCCTGCAGAACAGACGGGTTTCCTCCCTGTGGACGTGAGGTGTCGGGGGGCGTTTGCGCTGGGACTTGGGACATGAGCCCCCCAGAAGGGCGGTCCTGGCCGTGAAGGACAGCGTGGGTGGGAAAGAGCCAAGCCGGTCAGCATGGCAGTGACGTGAGGAGTTTGCGAAGGGGGTAGGGGCTGTGCCTTTTATTTCGGGGTTAGCGTTGTGCCTGGAAAAGAACGACGTGCTCGGTAGTTTATCGAATGACAGACAAACCAGTAAAAACCCAGAGGAGGTTTGAATCCAGTCCAAGGAGGAGCACTGGGAACCGTCTTTTTGGTGAGGGAGAGGTGTTGAACATGGTCCGAGTGGTGCTTTGGGAAATACTAACGCAGGGATGGAGGAGTGGCCTGTGGGGCAGGGGTCTCACAAAACGTTCTTGTGGTCGTGAACGTCCATGCGAATAGGGAATGAAAGGGAGGGAATGGCTGCAAGAGGTGTTTTGGAGGAAGGACTGACTGGACTCCGAATGACTGTGTAGAGAGGCTGGTTTTTGTTTTTTTAAAGATTATTTGACAGAGAGACAGGAAACACAAACAGGGGAGTGGAGAGGGAGAAGCAGGCTTCCCGCGGAGCAGGGAGCCCGATGCGGGGCTCGATCCCAGGACCCCAGGACCATGACCTGAGCCGAAGGCAGACGCTTAACGACTGAGCCACCCAGGCGGCTGAGAAGCAGGTTTTAAGCCTGAACGCATGGGGGATGGTGGTGATGCCAAGGGAAATGGGAACAGTGAGTACAGTTTTGACAGGACTCCGGTTTCAGCTTGGGATGTGTTGAAATTACGACCCAGGAGAAGCTGGAAGGCATCCAACTGGCATTTCAAGATGTGAGTCAGGAATGTAAAGGCGAGTTGGAGTCAGCCAGAGATTTGCGTATTCTTGGAATAGAGGTATACTGAAATTGGGATTAATGAGATCACAAAAGGAGAGAGTAAGGAGAGAGAGAAAAAGAACTTGGAAGTATGTTTCAGTTTTCTATTCTTATATTAAAATAAGTTGAAACCCCAAACTTAGTGCCTTAAAACATCCTCAGCTTATTTTCATGATTCTGCGGGTTGACTGGGCATTTCTACTGGTGGAGTTTACTGTGGTTGCGATCAGCTGGGAGTTAGGTGCTGCTGGACTTCAGTTGGGGCCCCCAGGTTCCAACCCACATGCCCCGTGCGTGGCCAGCTTGGGCGTTCTCACAGCGTAGCAGGCTCACGGCAGTGTGCCAAGGGCTGCTGCGCACTTCCTCTTGCAAAGCTGTTTCTGCCATGTTCTCTTGGCCAAAGCAAGTCAAAGGTCAGCACAGATTCAAGGGAAGGAGAAAGAAATAGACTCCACCTCCTCCTGATGAAAGGAGTGACAAAATCTCATCTTGAGAAATTTTAGGGGACAGGAGACTTTGGAAACGGTCTACCTCCCCAGCATTTGAGGTGGAATATTATGTGGGAAGTACACAGATGAGATTTTGTTTGGCTCTGCCATGGATAAAATTCTCTTCTCTCCAGCTGAAGTAGAGGCTGCTCAAGCATCCTTGTTAACCCTGCTTGCCTCACATGCTTTACTTTCCATCCCTTACCTCCTGGCTCAACCCCCTTTGGATTCAAGATAGATTTCTAATTAATCTCACTGGTAACGTGTCAGTTTCTGAGCATAACTTACAGTGGGGACAAAAACATGTTTCATGGAATTTTGAAGCTCTTGTAACTTACATGTTACAGATCCATTCTTATGCCTCCGATGTAGAAAACCATTTTTGAAGTGTACACCTGGGCTAAGTGAACCTTTTCCTTTAAGCCAGCATGGACGAAGCTTTGCCAGGCCGCACACCTGAAAATGGAGACAGCCTTGTCAAAGTGAAGGAGGAGGACCCCACCTGGGAGCAGACGTGGGGCTCATGGGAGAGCAGCCGCCAGACTCAGGAGCTTTGCCGCCTGCGATTCCGGCAGTTCTGCTACCGGGAGGTAACTGGGCCCCGCGAGGCTCTGGCCCAACTCCAAGAACTCTGCCGTCAGTGGCTGCGGCCCGAGACGCACAGCAAGGAGCAGATCGTGGAGCTGCTGGTGCTGGAGCAGTTCCTGACCATCCTGCCGGAGGAGCTGCAGGCCCGGGTGCGGGAGCAGCACCCCGAGACTGGGGAGGAGGCGGTGGCTGTGCTGGAGGATCTGGAGAAAGTCACAGGAGACGGAGGACAGCAGGTTGGGGAACATTTGTCTGTTAATTTTTAACTTTCTATTTTAAAATAATTTTTAACTGACAGAAGTATCTGGGAAAGTAGCACAGAAAAGTCCTGTGTCCTCTTCACCCAGATTCACCAGTTAACACTGTACTCTTGATACGCGCCCTCTTGTGCGAGCACTGTCCCTCAGCCTCTCCGCATATGCACAGGTCTGTGTATCACACACACACACTCATGCTTTGTGTTTTCTTCCACCATCTGAGAATTATCTGGGGACACCATACTTCTTTATGTAGGAACACTTCAGTGTTCAATATGTATTTCTGAAGAACAAGGGCATTCTTTTGTATAACCAGAATACAAAGATCAAGTTTTAGGAAATTAAAATTGTTATGTACTATCATCTACACAGTAGTCCTTGTTCACATTTTGCCGTATCATCCCAGTAGTGGGGGGTTTTTTTTGGCAATTTTATCCTGATCCAGGATATAGTCCAGCATCATATGTTGCATTTAGTTGCTTTTACTTTAGTCTCCATGAATCTAGAACAGCTGCTTGAATCCAGGACAGTCTTTCTTTGTCTGTCATATTGATATTTTTGAAGAGTACTAACCAGTTACTTTATAGAATGCCCATAAATTTGGGTTTGTCTTCTATTTTCTCATGATAGAATGCAGCTTGTGCATTTAGGCTAGAATCCCACAGAAGCTATGTGTTCTCCTTAGTGCATCACATCACAAGGCACACGGTGATGGGCTGTCCCATTACTGATGAGGTTAAGGTAGGGTCTGTCAGATTTCTGTATTACAGTTACCATTTTCCCCCTTGTAATTAATAAGTAATCCTTAGGAGAGGTTTTGAGGTCACATACATACCCTGTTCCTCATTAAAGTTCCATCCACTACTGTAAGTATCCATCTGGGTTTGTTCTGTTTTTTTTCAGGGCAGAGATTCTGTGTCTGCCTTGTCTCTTGTTTGCCATGATCACCCCAGCATGTAGAACAAAAGTCTGAGTCTTAGTACATGTGCAGTCCTTGTTTACCACATGGATGAATGTCTCTGTGTTGCTCATTTGTCTTACTCGTTGCTTCTTTAAAAGACAACATGGGGCCCATCTGGTGTTCTGGGAGATGTCCCTAACTGCTGTTCAGTCTGGTTCCCACCAGGATGCCTTTTCAAAGTGAATCTTTTGTCCTCAGGCTTCTGTCTATACTCAGGGACAGGACATGTACCCACTGGTGACAGAATATCAAGGAGCCTCTTTGGAGTGTCAGAGCCTCCAGCTCCTGCCCAGGGTAACCACCTTGAAGTGTGAACCTCCAGAGCTCTGCCAAGGGAACCCCCAAGAAGTGAGTGGTGAGTGCCGGTGGGTGTTCAGTGTGGACGTTGGCAGCAGACACTGACAGGTGCTTGTGTATCTGTGTCCTCCACTTTTTATATTTTGTTTTTTCTTTGTCTCACTCTGTATCTAAGCAAGCTTCTAAGGACATGTGGGATTGTAAAATGTTGGAATCCTTAGATCTTCTTATCTAATACCCTTCCCAGTAGTTGGGAAAACCAAAATTCAGGTTGTTTAATGACTTGTGCAGGGTCGACAGAGGCAGAGCAACATCTGGAATTCAAGTCACCTGAGCTTCTGACCAGAGTCTCTCTGCTATATACCTCTGCTCTACACCTAATTCGATACTTGTGGGTGTTTTAAGTATTTACGTGGTAGCTTTCCACACACTTACCTTTCTCCCATAGTAACATTTTCTTCAGTATCCTCCCGGCCTCTAATCTTGTGTCATTTTAAATACAGCTTTGGGCTTAAGCAGGTTCTCTCTGTTTTCCATTTGGAATGCAGTCTCCTGTGTGCAGGGCTCCCCCACTTTCCATCTCCAGGCTTCACCTCCAGGTAAACCACCCCAGCCGTTGGCTGTTGTTCAGCTCTGTGCAGGCCTCTGGCAATAGGATAAGCCATGCAGAGAATACAAAGTTTACAGTCTGCAGATGGATTGAGAACAGAAAAAGTACACAGGAAGTTCAAAGAGGAGATCTTAGAACTCCACAGTGCAGTGTTTTTTAACCTCTGGTGAGGGGTGCTACTAGTTTTTCCCCAGAAGTTGTTGAAAACTTGACTCTCCTCCCTGGAAATTGCGGGTACATGCAAAAGTATGCATACAATTTCAGAGGGCTCATAATTTACCCCAGTCGTGGTTACCGATCACCACGTTGGTAATATGTGAATACTGATATTTTGACAGTAAGTGTAGAATATATGGTTCATGTAATAAAATCATCAGAGGGAGATGAAATGTATAGGGCTCATATAACTTATGGTGTTTACCATATCATGTAGCATAAATAGGCCTTGATATTTCCCTACTTACATGGCTGATGTCTCTATCATATTTCTTCAGCTATGAAAAACCAGCATTACATAAAGCCCCAGAATGGTTTGTTTATGTGAAGTTGAGAGGTGGCAGAGAGCCCCACAGTGGGTAGACATTCCTACTTACCTAGAAGACAATGTAACATTCACATCTGCTGAAAGCGATTTCATTTTGACTGGAGATGGGCAGTTGTCAGAATGGTGATGATAATTGACCAAAAGATAGCAGCGGTCATAGGATGTGAGATTGTTTCATGTAAGTGAATGCTTAAAAGTTGCCTGAGATGGCTCATAGAACCAGACCCCGGGGCACTCTGGGCAGAGTGGTGGCCTCCTGTGGTTTCCTGCATCCCCATAGGGAGGCACCACCGCTGTCGTGTGTGTGTGACTGGGATGACAATGTTCTCTGGGCCCGCAGGAAGCATGCCTTGTCATTTTCAAGTGCTTTTTTTTTAATTGTTATGTTAATCACCATACATAACATCATTAGTTTTTGATGTAGTGTTCCATGATTCATTGTTTGTGTCAAGTGCTTTTTTTTTTTTAAAGATTTTATTTATTTATTTGAGAGAGAGAATGAGATAGTGAGAGAGCACGAGAGGGGAGAGGGTCAGAGGGAGAAGCAGACTCCCCGCTGAGTGGGGAGCCCGATGCAGGACTCGATCCCAGACTCCAGGATCATGACCCGAGCCGAAGGCAGTCGCTTAACCAACTGAGCCACCCAGGCGCCCTGTGTCAAGTGCTTTTTAAAAATATATATCCTTTTAGCTCCTCCTGAATATTCTAGAGACTCTAGCTAAAGGCCTGCCTACCAGTTATAATCCCAGCACATTTCTCCGGGTTACCTGAGACCACATGAACTGAAGACCAGTTTCCCAGGCTATTGGCATCCCCTCTTCCTGTGCTGGTATTTTCAAGGGATAGTAAATCGGCCAACATGGCAAAAGGGTAGGTCGGGTTTCTTTAGCAAGAATGTGGGGAAGAATGGGGAGATCACGTGGAAATATCTTGCAGGGTTCTTAAAATTTGGACTCTCATTAAAAAGTTGGGTGCTGGGGCATCTGGGTGGCTCAGTCAGTTGAGTTTCTGCCTTTGGCTCAGGTCATGATTTCAGGGTCCTGGAATCGAGCCCCACATCGGGCTCCCTGCTCAGCAGGTAGTCTGCTTCTCTCTCTCCCTCTGCCCTCCCCCTGCTCATGCTTTCTCAAATAGATAAATCTTAAAAAAAAAAAAACTCTTTATGATGACTTTTTGACATTTTAATTACTGTGTGTCTTGGTGTGGACCTCTTTAGGTTGATCTTTTGCCTTGTATAAGATTTTATTTGAGAGAGCAAGAGGGAGCACGAGCTGGGGGAAGGGGCAAGGGGAGAGGGAGAAGCAGACTCCCCACTGAGCAAGGTGCCGATGCAGGGCTCCATCCCAGGACCTTGGAGTCATGACCTGAGCCAAAGGCAGATGCTTAACCAACTGGGCCACCCAGGTGCCCCCAAGAGGCTGTTTTTGATTTGTTTTTTTCCTTTGTTTTGTTTTTAAAATTCTACATATGAGTGAAATCATATGGCATTTGTCCTTCTCTGAATTATTTCACTTGGCATTATACTGATCTAGAGATCCTTCCATGTTGTTGCTGATGGCAAGAGTTCATTCTTTTTTATGGCCGAGTAATATTCCATTGTAGAAACATACCACATCTTCTTTATCCATTCATCTGTGGATGGACACTTTGACTGCTTCCATAACTTGGTTACTATAAATAATGCTGCTTAAACGTAGTGGTGCCTATATCCTTTTGAATTAGCATTTTCATATTCTTTGGGTAAATATGCAGTAGCACGATTCCTGGATTATAGAGTAGGTCTGTTTTTAATTTTTTGAGGAACCTCCATACTGTTTTCCACAGTGGCTGCACCAGTTTGCATTCCCACCAACAGTGCAGAAAGGTTACTTTTTTTTTCATATCCTCACCAGTACTTGTTTTGAGTTTTGGATTTTAGCCATTCAGACAGGTGTGAGGTAGTATCTCGTACTTTTGATTTGCATTTCCCTGATGATGAGTGATGTTGAGCATTTCTTCATGTATCTGTTTGCCATCTGTATGTCGTCTTTGGAGAAATGTCAGTTTGTGTCTTCTGCCCATTTTTTTATTGGATTATTTTGTTGGGGTTGAGTTGTGTAAGTTTTTTACATATTTTGGATATGTCATTTGCAAATATCTTCTCCTATTCAGTAGGTTTTCTTTTAGTTTTGTTGATTGTATCCTTTACTGCACAGAAACTTTTTATTTTGATGAAGTCCCAATGGTTTATTTTTGCTTTTGTTTCCCCTTGCCTCTGGAGACATACAAAAAAATGTTGCAGATGATGTCAGAGACATTACTGCCTGTGCTTTTGTCTAGGATTTTTGTGTATGGTGTCAGAAAGTGTTGCGCTTCCTTCTTCTATATATGGCTATCCAATTCTCCCAGCACCATTTGTGAAGAGACTGCCTTTTTCCCACTGCATAGTCTACCTACTTTGTCGAAAATTAATTGACCATAAAATCGTGGGTTTATTTCTGGGATCTCTAGTCTGTTCTGGTGACTTATGTGTGTATTTTTGTGCCAGTACCATTACTGTTTTAATTAATACAGTTATGGAGTCTAGCTTGAAATCTGAGATTGTGACACCTCCAGTTTCTTTTTAAAGATTGCTTTGGTTATTTGGGAACTTTTGTGGTTCCATACAAATTTTAGGATTATTTGTTCTAGTTCTGTGAAAAATACTGTTGGTACTTTGATAGGGATTGCATTAATCTGTAGATTTCTTTGCCTGGTAAGGATATTTTAACAGTAAGTCTTCTCCCACTACATGAGGATGAGTATCTTTCTGATTGTGTGTCAGTTTCTTTCACCCATGTTTTATAGTTTTCAGAGTACAGGTCTTTCACCTCCTTGGTTAAGTTTGTTCCCAGGATTTCATTATTTTTGGTGCAGTTGTAAATAGGACTGTTTTATTAATTTCTCTTTCTGCTACTTCATTTTAAGTGTATGTATAGAAATGCAGTGGACCACTGCATCTTGTGACCTTAATGAATTCATTTATCAGTTCTCATAGGTTTCTGGTGGTCTTTAGAGTTTCCTCTATATAGTGTCATGTCATCTGCAAATAGTTTTCCTTCTTCCATAGCAGTTTGGATGCCTTTTAGTTCTTTTTCTGTTCTGATTGCTGTGGCCAATACTTCCAGTACTATGTTGAATAAAAGTGGTGAGAGTAGAAATTCTTGTCTTGTTCCTGATCTTAGGGAAAAGCTCTAAGGTTTTCATCATTGACTATGATGCTGGCTTTGATTTTTTTCATATATGGCCTTTATTAGGTTGAGGTATGTCGCCTCTAAACCTTCTTGACGGTTTGTATCATGAATGAATGTTGTACTTTGTCAAGTATTTTTTCTGCGTTTATTGAAATGATCATGACTTCAGTCATCAAGACTTGTTTTGTGGCCCAATATGTGATCCATTCTGGAGAGTGTTTTGTGTGCACTTGAAAAGAATGTGTATTTGCTGTGTTAGTATGAAATGTTCTGATTATATCTGTTAGATCCATCTGGTCCAGTGTGTCATTCAAAGCCACTGTTTCTTTGTTGATGTTCTGTCCATCGATGTACATGGGGTGTTAAAGTCCCCTACTATTATTGTATTACTATTAATTAGTTTCTTAATGTTTGTTATAACTATTTTAAATATCTGGGTGCTCCCATATTGGGTACATAAATATTTACAAATAGTATGTCATATTGTTGGATTGTTCCTTTTATTATTATGTAATATCCTTCTGTCTCGTTTCAATCTTTGTTTTCAAGTATATTTTGTCTGATAGAAGTGTTGCTACCCACTTTTCTTTTCACTTCCATGTGCGTGATAACTGCTTTTCCACCTCTTCACTTTCCATCTTCATGTGACTTAGGGCTGAAGTCTCTTGTAGGCAGCATATAGATGGGTCTTGCTTTTTTATCCATTCCATCACTTTTTTTTTTTTAAGATTTTATTTATTTATTTGAGAGAGACACAGTGAGAGAGGGAACACAAGCAGGGGGAGTGGGAGAGGGAGAAGCAGGGTTCCCACGGAGCAGGGAGCCCGATGCAGGGCTTGATCCCAGGATCCTGGGATCATGACCTGAGCCACAGGCAGATGCTTAACGACTGAGCCACCCAGGCGCCCCATCACTCTGTGTTTTGATTGGAGAGTTTATTCCTTTTACAGTCAAAGTTTATTGATAGGTATGTACCTAGAGCCATTTTGGTACTTTTTTTTTTTTTAAGTTCTTTTCTGCTCTCTTGCTTTCTTCTCTCATGGTTTGTTGAGTTTCTTTAGTGAGATATTTGAATTCCTCTTTGTTTTATGCATATCACTGGTTTTTGATTTGTGGTTACCTTTAGGTTTGTATATAACATCTGCATATAGCAGTCTATATTAAGTTGATGGTTGCTTATGTCTAAACCCATTCTTTACTCCTCGCCCCCTCCACGTTTTTGGTTATGGTTTCATACTTTACATCCTTTTATTTTGTGAATTCCTTGGTTGACTTTTATAGATATACTTAATTTTACTCCTTATGTCCTTCCTGCTTTTCTTACTTGTGAGTGTGGTCTTTCCTTTCCACTCAAAGAATCCCCTTTAACATTTCTTGTAATGCTGCTTTTAGTGGTGAATTCCTCTAACTTTTGTCTCGGATACTCTATCTCTCCTCCTATTCTGAATGATAGCATTTCTGGATAGAATATTCTGGGTTGCAGGTTTTTTTCTTTAAGCATTTTGAATATATCATGCTACTCCCTTTTGGCTTGTATAGTTTCTGCTGAAAAATCAGCTGACAGCCTTATGGGGTTTTTCTTTCTATGTAATGGTTTTCCTTTTGCTGCTTTTAAAATTCTCTCTTCATCATGAATTTTTGCCATTTTAATTACTGTGTGTCTTTTTTTAAAGATTTTATTTATTTATGAGAGCAAGAGAGAGCATGGGCCAGGGGGAAGGGTAAAGGGAAAAGCAGACTCCCCACTGAGCAGGGAGCCTGATGCGGGATTCGATCCCAGGACCCTGAGATCATGACCAGAGCTGAGGGCAGACACTTAACTGACTGAGCCACCCATTACCACATGTCTTGGTGTGGACCTCCTTGGGTTGATTTTATTGGGGGTTCTCTGTGCGTCCTGGATTTGGATTCCTGTTTCCTTCTCCAGATTGGGGAGATTTTCAGCTGTTACTTATTTAAAGAAATTTTCTGCTCTCTTTTCTTTCTCCTCACATCCTGGGATACCTCTACAATGTCCGTGTTATTATGCTTGATCTATCTTCATTATTTATTAATCTTTGTTCTTTCTGTTCAGCTTGATTACTTTCCATTCCTCTATCCTACAGGTCACTGATCCATTTTTCTGCTTCCTCCTCTACTATTTATTCCCGCTGGTGTATTTTTAATTTGTTTGTCATCTCTGGTTCTTTTTAGGTTTCTTGTCTCTTTAAGGGTCTCACTGAGATCCTCCACTCTGTTCTCAAGTCCAGTGTTTATCTTTATGATCACTACTTTAAATTCTATCAGGCATAATACTTCACTGTTTTATTTAGCCGTCTTGCAATTTTGTCTTGTTCTTTCATTCGGGACGTATTCCTCTGTCTCATTTTGTCTCTGTGTCTATTTCTGTGTTAGGAAGGTCAGCTACATCTCCTGCTCTTGTAAGTAGTGGCCTTATGAAGAGTTCCAGGAGTGCCTACAGTGCGGTGTTCCCTGTTCATCAGAACATGGTGCTTCGGGGGGCTCTCTATGTTGTGTGTGCCCTAAGGTTGTGGGCGAGCTGCGTTTGCCTTCAGTGTAGTCCTTCGCAGTGGCTCTCTTTGCCTGTTGTAGCCTGCTTTTGGTCCCTGTGTTAGTGGGCCAGTCTGGGGCTGCCTGGGTCTTGAGTTGAGGCAGTCCGGGTGTTTGCCAAAGATGCAGTGGCACCAAATTGCAGGGTGATCTCCCTGTGTTGTCCCCCGAGCAGCTTGTGTTGACAGGTGGAGCTGCCATCAGACCAGTGTGTGTTGTTCCCTTACCGTCTCCCTGGGGCAGGATTCACTTGGGAGTGGTGCTGGCCCCTGCCGGGGCTGCTTGCACACTGCCAGGCGTGTGGCCCAGGCTTGGATTGGCTAATGGTGCGCAGGAGGGGGCAGAGTCGTGGTGTTAGCAGCTTTTGGGTAGGTTGGCTGTGGGGGGTGGTCTAGAGCCCCCCCCCCCTTTAAAAAACTCCTGCAACAGGCTGGGATAGGGGAGTCCCTTGAGTGTGTGGACGTGGCATGTGGTGTGGCAGGGCCGTGCACGTCCAGGGCAGGAGGGGACTGCAGCTGCCCAGAACTCCTTAGGCCGTAGGGAGGGAGGGGGGGGGGCTGTAGGGGGGGGGGGGGGGGGGGGGGGGTAAGGCTTGCTGTTACCGTGTTGGGTGGGGAGTGCTGCACTACCCTGGCTCCCGTATGTCTGTGGATCTAGGCTGGGCTGAAGCAGAGGAAAGCGGAGCTAGCCAGCGCTTTTGTTCTTGAAGTCTCCCAACGATTCCTGTCCCTCTAGCATCGCTCTGAGAGCAGTAAACAAACCTCCCTCCATTTACCCCAGGCAGTTCTCAGACTGCCTGGTGTGCTCTCTCCCAGTGGGGCCGTTTGTGGTGTGGTCTCTTTAAGGGCGGGGACTCCTTTTCCTCTCGCCCTCCCTCCTCAGAGCCCAGCGGGCTGATTTTCAAGTTCCAGCTTAAGCACTGCTGATTGTATGAAATTCGGCTGCTCTGGTTTTCAAAGTGAAGTTATGGGATTCATCCCTGCCCCCTCGGGCTCCCCAGTTTGTGGGGTCTGTTTCTCTCCCCTCTCCCTCCGTCCTGCAGACAGTCGCAAGGCTCAGTTTGCCTCCTGACTTGCACCTCCGGTTTCCTGTCTTCTTTGATGCGGCCTCTTCTCTACATTTAGCTTCTGGAGAGTCTGTTCTGCCAGTCTTTGGGTCATTTTCTGGGTTCTTTACACTGAAGGGGGTTATTATCTAGTATCCATGGGACCAGGTGAGCTAGAGTCCACCCACTCCACCATCTTCCCTGGATGGCTCTTGCCTTCCTCCTGTTTTTGCACTTAGCTCTGATCCCCCTGAATCTGCAGGGGTAAATGGAGAGGAGGATCTGGACTTGGGATTATTTTGAGTTGGAAACAATCTTTTTAAGCAGCAGCACGGTACCCAGCACTGTGCAATCATCCTTCCTGTTTTATTGTGGGTCCTTTTAGAATCAGCAGCTTCCAGCATGGTGGATTGCCAGCATCTCTACCGCCTGCACAACGTGGCTTCTGTGCGTGTGAGGGGGGACATTTCCCAGAGCGCCCCGCCCACCCACTGCGTCCGCGCACAGCCGCCGCCACTTTCTGCTCCCGTTCCCTCGGTTCTCTTCCGCTTTCCTGTCTCCCCTTGCCGGGTACCTCTACTCTTCTCAAGTTTCCCTTTAGCACTAGGCGTCTTCCTCCTGTTTATTTTCATCTGTGACTTTAAAATTTGCTTTATGTGAAAGTGCATCACTATAAAGCACTTGAAGAATTTGCAAATACTCAGTCGTGAGGGTGGGAGACCCTACAGTTTTAGAACTAGGATTCTGGACAGAATGGGGACAGGTGTGGTGTTCTATCTCAGACAGTGTTTCGTGCACATCAGAGGCTGTGCAGGCTGGGTCCCCACCCTCGCCCCCAGAGGGCGCTGCTCCCGGCTGTCGTGGCTCATGCCAGACTCTGGTCTCCTCCCCCCACAGGGCCTGCTCCCCCGGGGACGAGCCAGAGGCAAGGACGCAGCCGGGTCCCAGGTGAGGAGGGTGCCCAGCTCATGGGAATGTGGTGGGTGGCAGCCCTCTTCCCGGCCACCTCCTCCTCGCCCTGCACCTGGGGGAGCTTTTCCAGCAGCTCCGCCCCTCTGCCTTCACCTTGTAACAGGTGTCAGGCCACGGATGCCTCCTGCAGGGGGCCCGTGTGGATGACGTACCGTTGCCTATTCTGTGCCGTGTGTTCAGGAGGCACAGCCACATCTCAAGTATGAGAGGGAGGGGGCAGTTAGACCCTTGCGTTCAGAAAGTGCCTCCACTCTTAGCTTTGGGGGCCTCTGTCTTGTCTCCTCTACCTGGCCTCCAGGATTCTTCCTATTCTTGGCGTTCTTGCACAGACCTAACATTTGTGATGGTAATGTTCGTTCTGTGTATCTGGCACAAAACTTCACATCACCACAAATGGACCTTTTTTCCCCTTAATCTCTCAGTGGTTCACTCATTTTCCTAGTCGTTCAGTTAAAAAATAATTAAGTCTTCCATTAAGTCCTGTGCTGCTGAATCAGTTTTCTCAAAACATGGTCCTTGTGGAGTCCTCTCTTGGTCCTTTTTTTGTGACTTCTAATTAGTTCTTAATTCTGTGAAACTCAGTGCCTTCTATTCTTAACAAATACTTTATCTTTATGAAAATAATTGCATAGAAAAAATCACCGATACATTTTTAAATCAACATAGTTGATGATGTGGGTGGAACTGTGTCCCCCTGAAACACATACTGCAGGTACGTGTCTGTAGGTGTGACGAAGGTAAGATGAGGTCATCCGGGGGGGAGGGGGGTCTGGGGGGTGGTGTCCTCAGGAGAAGGCCTTGTGAAGGCAGAGACTGGAGTGACGCGTCTACAAGCCGGAGGACATGGACTCCTGCCAACCACCAGCAGCCGGGGGCGGGGGCGGCACTACTGCTCTACAGGGGGTGGGGGGTGGCCACGCCCTTCACAACGGGACCCGCCCCCCCATCCTTACCACAGGGAAGCCGTCTTTTGCTTTTGCAGACATCAGTGAAGACTGAGGAAGAAGCCGCCCAGGCCCTTGTGGCAGAGCAGCGGCCCCCTCCTTGGAGTCTGGCTTCCAGGGACCCTTGTGGGGACTCCGCTCAGGGGAAGGTTACAAAAGTCCATCTGATGGGTGAGGGCAGCCTCTGGCGGGTCCCGTGTCTGGGCGCACTGTTTCCTTTAACGCTGACTTGGCCCTTGGGAGCCGACATTCCCCTTCTCTGTCCTCTGCCTGCGACTTGTCTCAGCGCTTGCCATTTCACATCCCTCCCGATCACGTTATCTTCTTCTGTCACTAATCAGAGAAGTTCTCTTCACACTCCGAGAAGACTGTTATCCACATATTATTTTCTTTAAATCTAGAACTTGGTAGACTCTCTCCCCAGCTAATTGACCTTTCATGTATTATCTTCCCATACTGTGCCAGACTTTGTAGGACCGCTGTGACAGCACTTCTGGGACAGCTGATGATTATGTTAATTTGAAAATCCCGTTCCCAGGGCGCCTAGCTGGCTCAGTCAGTAGAGCAGGTGACTCTTGATTTGGGGGTTGTGAGTTTGAGCCCCACCTTGGGCATAGAGCTCACTGAAAAAGAAAATCCTATTCCCTGCTCTGGAGATTTTTTTTTTCCTCTTTCTCAGTTCAGGCAACAGATGACATTTAAATGATTGTATTATTTTAGCTGAAGAAGTTGTAACTAAAGATGGATTATTTAATGCAAAGAAAGAAACTTCTCAAGAAGTGGAGCACGGTGCTGAGGCCCCAGGAATACCCGACAGGTGAGTGTCCATGGTTGTAAGTGGAACAGATCCTGCAGCTGTCAGAACAGATTAGAATGGAACCAGAGAAACCAACTGGTCCGAAGCTGCTTCCCTGGGATAATGTAGGAAAAGTAACTCTCACTTGTGTAATCACAGGAGGTCCCACGCCCCAGTGACCTACCATTATCCGCATTACACAAAACCTTCAGTTGGTGCACAGGTGCCTCCAAGAATCCTATCCTGACTGTTTACCTTGCCTGGTCACCCTTCCCTGAGCACCCTTAGGTCTTTGCGGAGCTACAGATAAGCCACAAAAGGCAGAGAATTTAGACAAGACAGCGAGGCCATCATGGCAGTGAAGAAAGACCTAGCATTAGGAAGTAGCTGATGGCACAGATATTAAAGATAGTAGTAGGTACTTAGTTAAGTGCGGGTTGTGGGAATGAATGAATGAACATGGAGCACAGATACTCCTAAAGCAGGACAGGAGGGACCCGGTCAGAGGCAGAGGGTTAGGTTTGGGTGAGGCCGTTAACTCCTCGGAGGTAAGAAAAAGAGGAGAAAGGAAACAGTGTGGGATAATTAGCCTGGCACGCAAGGCAGCAGTGGGGACATTTGTTCAGAGCAGGGAATCGGAGCTAAATCTTAGTGAAAATGGAAATGTCTTCAAGCTTAAGAAAAATGAAATTTTTCATAAAGCCCAGAGGCCTGACCCAGGCTCCCGCTAAAATAACATTTTGTGAAGTCACTGTACCGGCACAATAGGAATCTGGTGGTGTGCCTGTCAGGTACATTTAACCTTAGCGCCCAGAAACCTGCCTCCCCATGTCTTCATCCCCCCCCCGGCGGCATCTGCACACGGTCCCTGCAGTTGAGAACATTAGGGAGCTCTAGGAACGGTAGGGATCGTGCACACTGGAGACACCCAGGATAAATGCTTGAAGCAGATAACCGAATACATGTAGTATAAATTGTACTCTTTTCAGTGCTTTCCCCCCCTTGTGTCCTCTGCAACTAGACTATTTACCAATAGGACATTAGTGAGTGAAACGCAAATTTCTCAAAAAGAGAAGCTTGTGTATAACACTTTTCATCTTGGTAACTTTAGCTTGCTTCCTTGTAAACCCCATAAAAACCAGTTCAGCAGCAGTAAGTTTGAGTTTCTCTTAAGTTTCTCTCCAGAGCAGTGTGTCCACCAGATGAATGCAGAGCTAGGAAAGACTTAATCCTTCCATGTTCAGAAATTCTGAGAGAGGTGTGAGGGAGCCCAGTAAATAACCCCTTTCCTTGTCCAAGTTTAAAACCAAATGATGGAGATACAGGAGTAAAACAGATGATTCTGGAAACCTTGGCTTCATTACTGACGGAAGCTTGGCTAGGAAAGGAGCAGCACAGCAGACCTCCCCCTACACAGCCCTGCCCGATACAACTTGGGGTGTCTGCCACTTGCTTCTGAAGAGGAGGGAGGTGCTGCACAAAGATGCCCAGGTTCCTTCTTCCAGATTTCACAGCTAGTTGTCTTGAGGAGTGAGACCATGCTAGGGAGAGGCCAGAGGGTTAGGTCCTAGGAGGGAGAAGCCAAAGTCCTAGGAGTGAGAAGAAGGTCATCTCCACACAAGACTACTTAGGTGTCATCAGATTCATGTCATAGTAAGACTAAGGATTTTTATAGCCTGTTTTTTTTTTTTCATTCCTAGAAATTGTGTGCCCCAGCCACCTTGTACTTCTGTCCATACGGAAAGAACAGTTGCACATTTGAACACTCTGAAGGACCGTCACCCGGGTGACTTGTGGGCCCGAATGCACATCTCATCCTTGGAATATGCTGCTGGAGACATGACCCGAAAAGGGAGAAAAAAGGACAAAGCTCGAGTGAGTGAACTGCTACAAGGCCTTGCATTTTCTGGTGACTCAGATGTGGAAGAAGATAACAAGCTTGAGACCCACCATGCTCAAAAAAAGCTAAAGATGTCAAATGTGCCAGAGAAGAATTGGGCCAAAAGAGACATTAAACCCAGCTTCCCAAGCTGGTCGGCACTGGATTCTGGACTTTTGAATCTCAAGAGTGAGAAGTTGAACCCAGTAGAGCTCTTTGAGTTATTTTTTGATGATGAAATATTCAACATGATTGTCAACGAAACCAATAATTACGCATCTCAGAAAAATGTCAACTTGGAAGTCACAGTTCAGGAAATAAGGTGTGTGTTTGGTATCTTGCTTTTGAGTGGATTTGTGAGGCGTCCCAGAAGGGGAATGTATTGGGAAATCTCTGATGCTGATCAGAACCTGGTTAGAGATGCAATTAGAAGGGACAGATTTGAATTGATTTTCTCATACCTACATTTTGCAGATAATAGCCACCTAGATCAAAAAGATAAGTTTACAAAATTGAGGCCTCTCATAAAGCAAATGAATAGAAATTTCCTCCTGTATGCTCCCTTGGAAGAATACTATTATTTTGATAAGACAATGTGTGAATGTTTTGACAGTGACCAGTTCCTGAATGGGAAACCTATTAGAATTGGCTATAAAATTTGGTGTGGCACAACCACACAGGGTTATCTGGTGTGGTTTGAGCCCTATCAAGAAGAATCAACAGTGATGGTGGATAAGGATCTTGATCTTGGTTTAGGTGGAAATCTAGTGATGCATTTTGCTGATGTTCTTTTAGAGAGAGGCCAATATCCCTATCACCTGTGTTTTGATAGCTTCTTTACAAGTGTAAAATTGGTGTCAGCCTTGAAGAAAAAAGGAGTGAGGGCAACAGGAACAATTCGTGAGAACAGGACTGAAAAATGTCCCCTCATGAGTGCAGAACATATGAGAAAAATGAAGAAGGGCTATTTTGATTTCCGAGTCGAAGAAAATGAGGAGATAATTTTGTGTCGTTGGCATGGTGATGACATTATCAGTCTATGCTCCAATGCTGTAGGCATAGAACCAGCCAGTGAGCTAAGTTGTTCTGCTGATGAGGACGACATCCATCAGATAGCTCAACCATCTATAGTGAAATTGTATGATGAATGCAGGGAAGGTGTAGCTAAAATGGATCAAATCATTTCCAAATACAGGGTGAGAATAAGAAGCAAGAAATGGTACTCCATTTTGGTAAGCTACATAATTGATGTAGCCATGAACAATGCATGGCAGCTACACAGAGCCTGTAATGCAAGTACCTCTCTAGACCTCTTGGATTTTCGGAGATATGTCGCACATTTCTATTTGGAGCACAATGCTAATCTGTCAGATTAAGGCAGATAAAATGAACACAATGCCAGTATTAACAAGACAAAAAAATTACAGGTACAAAGCAGAGTGTACCCTTCCAAAGTAAACCTGATGTATATAATGGAATTATTAAGTAATATTTTTTAGAAGTCAAACATCTATGTAGAATTTCAAAGACATTATTATAACAAGTAATTTTAAAAATTATCTGTAAAAATGTTGAACTTGAGTGCCACCTTTCTCTATGACTAATTTTTGGTGTGAGACACGTGAGAAGTCATTTGTTAAAGTGATTAATTTGTGCCCTGGAAGAATGAAATTGTGCCTTTTTAATTTTTTGTGGAGATTTTTAAAAATGCAAGCACTGTCATAGTAACCATAGGACGATGCTGAATCTACAGCTGAAAACTGAGGCAGAGCCCATGACATAAGGATGATCCAAGAAAGACCTTAGGTGATGAGGCTGAAGACCTCAGTGTTGGTATAAAACTGGATCAGATGGTGGGCAGGAGAGAAGGGCCAGGCAGGGGCGCTGGAAAGGAGTACTGTAAAGGAGAAATTGGAAGCGAAGAAGTACCTCTGAATACTGAAATAAAAGGTGTATCCTGTTGGGACTGTGGGAGTTGGCAGAGGCAGCTAAGAGTAAAGAAAACTGAGGAAATAGGAAGCAAATCGGGTAACAGTCGCATCTTCAGGAGAAGAAAGGAAAAGTCAACAATAGGATGAAGTTGACATAAAGCCCATGGTGAAAAACCTGTATGCCAACAAACCGAATAGCCTAGAAGAAATGGATAAATTCCTAGAAACACATAAACTACCAAAACTGAATCTGGAAGAAATAGAAAACTTGAACAGACCCATAGCCAGCAAAGAAATTGAATCAGTAATCAAAATTCTCCAACAAACAAAAGTCCAGGACCAGGTGGCCTCACAGAGGAATTCTACCAAACATTTAAAGAAGAGTTAGTACCGATTCTACCCCAAAATATTCCAAAAAATAGACTACAAAGGAAAACTTCCAACAAATCATTCTATGATACTAAAGCTAGATAAAGACACCATAAAAAAAGAAAAGGGAACTAGAGGCTACAGCACAGAAACAGGGATGACTGGGCCTTGTAGCCCCTTATTCACACTAGAGGTGTTAGAAACAGGAGGGCAGCAATTGCAGGATGGAGCAACGTGCATGAGAGCTGGCTCTTCTGAGAATACAGGCAGACTGCTTGAGTGCTCTCCCAGGCTGTTGACTTCAGAGCAGTCTGTATGGGACTCGCACCCCCCCAAAACAAGCTACCTCTTTTCATTGCCAGATCTCACATAATTTTGGGGCAAATCTCACGAGATTTCAGCCCAAGTCCCATGAGCTCTTGGGCCGTATCTTGTGGGAACCTGGTAGGAGAGGGAAGTCCCTAGCTAGCCTCCTTTGTGTACGATAAGTAGGTCGTGATGAATACAGATGCAAAAATCCTCAACAAAATAATAGCAAACTGAATGCAACAGTATATTAAAAAAATCATACACTACCATCAAGTGGGATTAATTTCCCAGATGCAAGGGTGGTTTGATATTCGCAAAACAATCAACGTGACAGATCAATAAGAGAAAGGATAAAAACCATATGATCATTTCAATAGATACAGAAAAAATATTTGACGAAGTACAACATCCATTCATGATAGAAACTGTCTGCAAAGTAGGTCTAGAGGAAACATACTGCAACATAAGTAAGGCGTGATATGAAAAATCCACAGCCAACATAATACTCAGTGGTGAAAAACATAGCTTTTCTCCTCAGATGAGGAACAAGACAAGGATGTCCACTCTCACCACTTTTACTCAACATAGTACTGGAAGTCCTAGTCACAGAAATTAAACAACATAAAGAAATAAAAGGCACGTTTATTGCTAAGGAGTTAATAAAACTCTCCTTGTTTGTATATGACGGGATATGATATATAGGAAACCCTAGAGACTCCACCAAAAAAAAAAATTTTTTTTTAAAGATTATTTATTTGACAGAGACACAGTGAGAGAGGGAACACAAGCAGGGGTAGTGGGAGGGGGAGAAGGAGGCCTCCCACAGAGCAGGGAGCCTGATGCAGGGCTCAATCCCAGGACCCCGGGACTGTGACCCAAGCCAAGGGCAGATGCTTAACGACTGAGCCACCCAGGCGCCCCTCCACCAAAAAACTTCTATAACTGATAAATTCATAAGGAAAGCAGGATACAAAAGCAATATACAGAAGTCCATTGCATTTCTATACAGTTGTAATGAACTAACAAAAAGGGAAATTAAGAAAACAGTCCACCAATTGCACCAAAAATAATACGGAGGTGAAAGACCTGTACTCTGAAAATTATACTGATGAAAGAGCTAAAGACAACAAAAATGAAAGGCATTCCATGCTCATGAGTTTGAAGAACAAATACTATTAAAATGCTTAGACTATGCAAAGCAACGTACAGATGTAAAGCCTTTCTAATCGAAATACCAACAGCATTTCTCACAGAACTAGAAAAAATCCTAGAATTTCCTAAACAAAAGACCCCAAATAGCCAAAGCAATCTTGAAAAAGAACAAAATGGGAGGTATCATAATTGCAGATATCAAGTTATATTACAAAGTAGTAGTAATTAAGGGGACCCTATTCTAATCGGTCCCCTGAATTGAGCCAGGTGTCTTCCAGACCACTCTGAACACCCACAAAATCGGCGTGAGATGTAAGAAGATATATCCGGATCTCTACAAACAATATGCCAGGCAGTTGGTTTCGAGGTTTGAGGCAGGGAGCCATGATTCCGCGGACAGATATCGGAAGATAAACGGAAGAGGAAGGGAGCCTTCAGGATCCTGCACCTCGGGTGTGCGAAAACCTCCCGTGCTGGGAACGGGGCACAGGCTCGCAGACCGGTAGCGGTGGGGAAAGGACTTTAGGGCAGACCCCTGGACTGGAACCTGGAGCAGCGGGGCCATGAGAGTGAACTCAGGGTGGCTGGCGGTTTTAGAAGCACAAAGGGCAGAGATGTGCCCTGACCTGGAGGCGAGGACTGGGAGTGCTGCTAAGGGGCGCACAACCCAGGACCCTGCAGTTTATAGCAGCACAGACAGAAACGGAGATAATGTGGCCTGGAGAGCTCACTGAAGAACAGACTGAGATCTATGCTCTGAGGCAGAGGATTGGAAACGATCTCTTCTGCTCTCTCGGAAGAGATGCGGAAAGTCGCCAGGGAAAGCCGCCAGAGAACAAAAGCCCAAAAGAACCGGTTTTCAGTGAGCCCACTCCCCCCCAACAGGCGGCAGGGCAACTCTGCCCAAACAGGGTTGCCTGAGTAACAGTGTGGCAGGCCCCTCCCCTAGAAGACAGGCTGGGAAAACAAGAGGCCAACAACCCTAAGGTCCCTATAAAACAGGTGCGTCTTGCTTGGGTTGTGGTCAGTAATTTGGACTCTGTACATTCCCTCAACCACCCCTCAACAGAATGACTAGGAGGCAGCACCCCCAATATAGGAAAGACTCAGAGACTGTGACTTCTGCCACAGATTTACAAATGGATACAGATATAACCAAGATGTCAGAAATGGAATTCAGGGTAGCAACTGTGAAGACAATAGCTAGAATGGAGAAATCGATTACTGGCAACAGAGAGTCTTTCTAAAGGCAGAAAAGCAAGATGAACTGGCAGACTTAAAAATGCTATCGAGATCCAATCTAATCTAGATAATCTAACAGCCAGGGTAAGCGAGGCAGAAGAAGGAATTAGTGATCTAGAAGACCAATTGATAGAAAAGAAGGAAAAAGGGGCCTGGGAGAAACAACTGAAAATCCATGAAAATAGAATCAGAGAAGTAAGTGTCACCATGAAACATTCCAATGTGAGAATTATTGGGATCCCCGAGAGGGTGGAGAGAGAGAGTGGACTAGAAGAAATATTTGAGCAAATCATAGCTGAGAACTTCCCTAATCTGGGGAATGAAACGAACACTCATATCCTAGGGGCAGAGAGGACCCCTCCCAAGATCAAGGAAAACAGGCCAACACCCCGGCATGTAATAGTAAAACTCGCAAATCTTAGAACCAAGGAAACCATCATAAGGGCAGTTAGGGGAAAGAGATTCCTTACATACAGAGGGAGGAACATCAGAATAACATCAGACCTATCCACAGAGACCGGGTAAGCCAGAAAGGCCTGGCAAGACATATTCAGGGTACTAAACGAGAAGAACATGCAGCCAAGAATACTCTATCCCGCAAGGCTGTCATTTAGAATGGATGGAGAGATGCAGAGCTTCCAAGAGCAGCAGAAACTGAAAGAATATGTGACCACTAAGCTGGCCCTGCAAGAAATATTAAGGGGGGTTCTATAAAAGGAGAAAGACCCCAAGAGTGTTATAGAAAAGAAATTTACAGGGACAATCTATAAAAACGTCTTCACAGGCAACATGAAGTCAATAAATTCATTCATATCTTTTAGTAATCACTCTCAATGTGAACGGCCTAAATGCTCCCATAAAATGGCACAGGGCTGCAGACTGGATAAAAAGACAGGATCCATCCATATGCTGTGTACAAGAGACTCATTTTGAACCTAAAGATACATCCAGACTGAAAGTGAAGGGATGGAGATCCATCTTCCATGCCAACAGACCTCAAAAGAAAGCTGGGGTAGCAATTTTGTATCAGACAAATTAGATTTTAAGCTAAAGACTGTAGCTAGAGACACAGAAGGACACTATATCATTCTTAAAGACTCCATCCAACAAGAAGATCTAACAATTGTAAATATCTACACCCCCAACATGGGAGCAGCCATCTACATAAGCCATCTGTTATCCAAAATAAAGAGTCATATTGATAACAATACATTAATTGTAGGAGACCTCAATACACCACTCCCAGCAATAGACAGATCATCTAAGCAGAAAATCAATAGGAAACAAGAGCTTTGAATGACACACTGGACCAGATGGACCTCATAGATATATACAGAACATTCCACCCTAAAACAGAATACTCTTTCTTCTCGAGTGCACATGGAACTTTCTCAAGAATAGACCACATACTGGGTCACAAATCAGGTTTCAACTGATACCAAAAGATTGAGATTATTTCCTGCATATTCTCAGACCATAATGCTTTAAAATTGGAACTCAATCACAAGAAAAAATTTGGAAGAAACTCAAACACTTGAAGGTAAAGACCACTCTGCTCAAGAATGTTTGGGTCAACCAGGAAATCAAAAAAGAACTTAAAACAGGGGTGCCTGGGTGGCTGACTCGTTAAGCGTCTGCCTTCGGCTCAGGTCATAATCCCGGGGTCCTGGGATCGAGCCCCACATTGGGCTCCCTGCTTGCCAGGAAGCCTGCTTCTCCCTCTCCTACTCCCCCTGCTTGTGTTCCCTCCGTCACTGTCTCTCTCTCTCTGTCAAATAAATAAAATCTTTAAAAAAAAAAAAAAAACTTAATTCATGGAAAACAATGAGAACGAAAACACATTGGTCTAAAACCTATGGGATAGTGCAAAGGCGGTCCTAAGGGGGAAATACATAGCCATCCAAGCCTCACTCAAAAAAAGAGAAAAACCCTGAATTCACCAACTAACTCTACACCTTAAATAACTAGAGAAAAAGCAACAAATGATGCCTAAGCCACGCATTAGAAGAGAAATAATTAAGATTAGAGCAGAGATCAATGAATTAGAAACCAAAAACACAGTAGATCAGATCAACGAAACTAGAAGCTGGTTCCTTGAAAGAATTAGTAAGATCAATAAACCACTGGCCAGACAATGCAAAAGAGAAGAGGACCCAAATTAATAAAATTATGAATGAAAGGGGAAAGATCACGACTAACACCAAGGAAACAGAAACAATTATTAGAAATTGTTATCAGTAACTATATGCCAATAAGCTGAGCAACCTGGATGAAATGGATGCCTTCCTGGAAACCTATAATCTCCCAAGACTGAAACAGGAAGAAATTGGCAACCTGAATAGGCCAATAACCAGTAAGGAGATTGAAGCAGTGATCAAAAACCTCCCAAAAAAATGAGTCCAGGGCCTGATGGGACTCCCTGGGGAATTCTATCAAACATTCAAAAAAATAATACCTATTCTCCTGAAGCTGTTTCAAAAAAAGAAACAGAAGGGAAGCTTCCAGACTCATTCTAAGAGGTCAGCATTACCTTAATCCCCAAACCAGGCAAAGACTCCATCAAAAAGGAGAATTTCAGACCAATATCCCTGATAAATATGGATTCCTAAATTCTCAAGAAAATCCTAGCTAATAGGATCCAACAATACATTAAAAGGATCATCCACCACGATCACGTGGGATTTATCCCCGAGATGCAAGGGTGGTTCAACATTCGCAAATCAATCAGTGTGATAGAACACAGTAAGAGGAGAGAGAAGAACCATATGGTCCTCTCAATTGATGCAGAAAAACATTTAAAAAATACAACATCCTTTCCTGATTAAAACTCTTCAGAGTAGGGGCACCTGGGCAGCTCAGACGGTTAAGGGTCTGCCTTCGGCTTGGGTCGTGATCCTGGGGTCCTGGGATCAAGCCCCACATCGGACACCCTGCTGAGCGG